CAAAGTCTATGAAGGCGTTTTGTACGGACGTCCTTTTTGCGTAAAAGGTACATCACATAGGTTTTTGGAACAAAATTTTATTTCCTACCAGGAAATTGTCCAAATTGTGGGTGAAATGGTTATTGGTTGGGCCTTGGTCTGACGAGTATGGAGGATGACGTATGGTTTCTAACTGCATCAGAACTGCAGAGAACATGTTTGTCGAGCAGTGTGAGGTCTTGCGTTATCATGGAGCAATAATGACGAAGATGGTGGTTAGTGACACACCTCACTAAAGGATCTCAAAAAACACCATCAAGAGACCACCAAATATTGGCATTGCATCGATATTTAACCTGTGTTGTAATTGTCAACCATTGCGTATTTCGCTTACAATTATCGTAGAGTCTACTTTTCATCACACGTCACAATTCTGTCCAATATCACTTCAATTCTGTATCTATAATTTTCTAATCAAGACAAGCTTTCACATAATTTTAATTTTAATTATAGTGGCACCAATATCTAGTTTTTTTGCTAAATTGGTGCAAATGATTCAACATTGTGGGTAAACTAACCTCAAACAATGACGCTAATTCCTTGGTTATTTGATAAGGATGGACTTCCGCCATTACTACTGATTCATCGTTATTTACCTTGGTGTCTGTTCTTCCTCGTGTTACTACAGTTAAAGAAAAACGCACTGAAAGTTCGTTAGTAGCATCCTCTTCACACGCAGCATCTACAGCGACAGGGAGCAAACTGTATCTGCTACGTTACAACCACGTCAAAACTCGTTTTCGAAAATTAGGTACTACGAGTACCCTAATTTTTAATGTCTCCATGTTTAACTCAAACTGAATAATATAAGAACGTAGTGATTATTACTCTGATAAAAACGATTGAAAGTCTAACGATAGAATGTCATACAATTAATTATTGAAATTAAAATGTTATATTTTGTGTAAAAAAAGTTTTAATCACGAATTTTGAATCATGTATGGTTTAATTTTAATTCAAAATGGCCCCTCCATTAAAACGGCAACTTCATATATTACTAATAGTGTAAAGTATGTTAATAAGAACAAATGGTGATAAAACGAACGCTGTTGAATCGTTTGGATCGCTTGTTACAGTTTTGCTTTTTATTTTATTTTGCTGAAACGTAAATATATATATAATACTACCTATTAACGCTATGTAACACGACATCAATTCGAATTTGGAATTCCAATTGTAGTGCACCGACAATGATAGTATATATGATAGTACCTATATTATACCAACGACTGTCAGAATAACTGACTAGTAACAACAACAGATGCCAATCAATGCCACAGAAATTATTACTTTTATTTTACATTATAAAATAATATGGGGGCTATTTTAAAAATTAGCGGAAGCAAATTGCTACCTATTCAAAATAATCTCTGTTTTGCTTCCTCAGAATTAATAATAATCATCATCATCATCATCATCATCATAACAGCCTATCACAAGTCCACTGCTGAACATAGGCCTCCCCAAAGGAATGTCATACAGCACTGTCCTGAGTCACCTGCATTCATCGACTTCCTGTATGTCTTACCAGGTCGTCACTCCGTCTAGTCACCCTACATTTCATCTACCGGTACGAGGCTGCCACTCGAGAAAATATTTTCCCCATCGATTGTCGGTTCTTCGAGCTATATAGCTCCATTGCCGTTGGGAGGCACTATGGAGGTCATTGAGCATAGTGCTTAGGTCCTCCAGCGATTCTGCCATAAGGACTATATCGTCGGCAAATCGAAGGATGGACTCGCCATTGATGTTAACACCGTATCCTTTCCAGTCCAGTAGCCTGAAAACTTTTTTCAATGCAGCGGTAAAGATATTCAAGGATATAACGTCACCCTGTCTTACACCTCTCTGCAATTGGATAGCTTGTTCGGCTGTAATTCGTCGAGTCTGCGTACGCATCGTCTCGTACGAGTCGTTACGAATCGTCTCGTACGATTCGTAACGACTCTCGAAAAGAACACGTAGACGCGGCTCAGAAATGAAATCGGTCTGCAGTTCTTCAAGAGAGCGTCGTCGCCTTTATTGAAGAACAAGACAACCACACTTCTGCTCCACGTCTCTGGAGTAGTCCCACCATGGAGGACGAAATTAAAAAGTTTCTGAAGTATTTCAAGTACCGGTGTTCCACCCGCTTTCGGAAGCTCCGCTGTAATTCCATCCTCGCCTGGGGCCTTTCCGTTTTTAAGGTGCTGGAGACACATTCTAGTCTCGCTCAGACTGACGTCCGGGATACCATCGGAACAGTGTCGGATAACACTTGCTCTTGGATCGTACCTTACACTTGCGTGTGGCTCTCACTCAAAATCTCATGTGTCTCGGAAGTGTTCCTGCCACACTCGGTCTTCAGTTTTGACAGTTGGCTCTTTCTGGCAGACAGATCTCTGGCAGCTGCCTTTGGAGCCTTGGTTCTACTTGATCGCTTCTTCAATACAAGCTGTATTGAAGTTGCGTAAGTCCCGCCGCATATAATTGGAGATCTTTATGTTCAGTTGCCTGTATTCTGTCAAATCTGTTGAAGACTGCAGCAGAGAGAGAGAGCAGAGAGTTTTTGTGTTCTTCTGCGGCAGGTCTTGCAGAACTTAGCTCCGACTGCATATACAGTTTCCACGAGCTTGTCATTCATATCGCCCACTGCATTGCAGTCTTGTAGGCACTGAAAACGGTTTTGTAACTCAAGCTGAAAGGTTTCAGGACTTTGGATTAGAGCACGAGGGGGACGGAGCGTTGACTTCATTAGACGAGACCTCTCCAACTTAATGTTTAGGTTCAGTTTGCCTCTAACCATTCGTTGATCGCTTCGAGCTTTCACCCTCACGATCACTGTGATATCACTGAACAGTTGTCGTCTGCTCGTCATAATGAATTCAGTCTCATTTTTTGTAGAAAAAGTCGTTCGACCGGGTCCACTTCCTATGAGGCCGCATCTGGAAGAAAGAGTTCATCATAAGGAGTCCCTTTTTCTCCATGAAGTCGGCCGGCTGTTGGGTTCCGTTGCCCTATTCCGAATTTTCCTACCTTCAGCTCACCATTCTCTCTATATATCTCTATATAAACATCGTATTGGAGTTTTGGAGGAATGCATGGCTTTAGAGATATCCTCATACATTTCCTCTACCTCCTCATCGGAATGTGCTGAGGTTGGTGCGTAAAGCTATATTATGGCCTTTAAGGAATACTGTTTGGTGATTATGAGTATAAGTTACGCGACACACCCTCACCCCGCTGCGGGATGCAGGGGACTGGGAGCCGTCTCTTCGTAACTTTCATCACAAGGGGGATATTTGCCATAGTTGCCACGCTTAGCGAGCGGGTTGGCAACCGCAGTTTTTTTTTAATTGTAATATTGCTTTTAACAGGAAGATGCTGCTCCCACTGTCGCCCCTTACGACACCCACGGGAAGATATGGGGTAGTGCATATTCTTAACAGCCACTAATACACGGTTTAATCAGAATTCAATGACAAATTAATTATCCCGTTAAAATATGTCACTACTTTACGTTTTCTATTATTTATTATCATACTAACGACTACTCAATCGCTCCTCCATTTATTAAAGTTTTGAAGAGGGAGTGCCTCAGTGTTTATGCGTAGACATCGGTACTATATCATGTCGATATCAGTTAATAATTTTAGATGTTATGCCGGTGTTGTCGCTCAGACCAATTAATTAGTTACGAAAACATTAATATTTTCAGCATATCGTATATTACGCAATTAAAACTTTCGTAAACCTTTACCAAAATTGTCTTTTTGTCAAAAAATTACCGAGAAGACAACAAAATTCATTCATATATAATCATAATAGACATTAAGATTGTTGATGATGCAGTACATATACATTTTTTCACATTAAAAGCGAATATTATCAACATTGTTAAGGCTTTATCTTTCTGATGAATAGATCGTTCTGAATACCTGAGAACAAAAGCAATGCACGAGTAAAAGGGAAATTACTTAAATTGGAATCGCTTAATCAGCATATAAGATAAGATATCACATTATAAAAATGTAATTGTATCAAATAATATTCGGTATCAGACTAAATATAAATATAACCTATTGCTGGACAGTGCGCAGTGTACAGCCAGGCAAAAAGATCTCACGACTTCTAACAGTTGGCAGAAAAATTTACGAATATTCGTCAAATATTTTAATATTATTGAAATATCTCGTTTCCAGTAAAAAGGGTCGCCGATTCTCTACACTTACCATACGAAACAAAGTTACCAGCCTATATACGTCCCACGGCTGGGCACAGGCCTCCTCTCACTTGTGAGAGGGGAACCATTTGTGCTACAACCATATTATAGCTGCAGCATGACTCTACCACCTTAATACGTCTCAATTAGTTAGTATTACTCAATTATTATTAAAATTATACATGATCCTCAACTTTCTTTAACTTTTACGGTAAAGGTATACAATGTGATCGATATGAGATGACGACATCGATTGTATATTTATTATCGCTTAGGACTCTACATAAATATTCATCATAAATATATAGTATTTACATTTGTTGCCACTTCCAAAATTGGAAATTTTAAAAGGCGACAACGAGTTATAATTCTGCGACTGACTGCATTGTCCTTATTTATACGATAAGGAAAATGTAATCAGTCAAAATTTCGTAATGTAAATATGTACCTACTTTACGAATTTCTGACTTCATTATAATGTATTAAAATTAACATTTTGTCATATATTGTATATTTTTTTTTAATATTTTAATTCAGTACAATCTACAACATTAGTACGTGTATCTACGTAATATGTATTTATTTACTGCACTAACATTGTTTTACAAACAGATTTATATAATTAACAGATTTAATTTTCTTAAGTGCCATTATCTAGAGCATCTAAAACCTATATACTTATTATCTAGTACATTAAAGCTTATCTTACTACTAACACATAAAAAAACAGATTTACATGCAATCAAAACATGAAACTTACCACAAATATGGCTGTGACACAAAGCAGCATGTATTTGATGCACTTCATTCCCACTTCACGGTTATTGGCCGCCATTTTGACACTATATCCCCTCTGCGTATGTTCTATTCTTCGTCGTACATAAAACAACACTGAATTAGGAAAGTAGTTTATAGAGCAAAAACTTGTTATCAGCTGTGATAAGGTATCGCCCGTACGGCTCTCGCTGTCAGACTACTCAATGCCATGAAAACGATTTTTCTTTAGCCAATTAACTACATAAAGCGAAGTGTTATTGTAAATATAACGCGTCGATTTGCGTACGCGGTAGAACTTAATACACAACACCTACGTTTGTGTTCCGTCCACGAGTTATTTTTAGTAAATACAGATATTATTTAATGAAAGGCCAAGATCAAAGACTGTTTAACAAACAAATACAGTTGTTAAGTGCCTACGAAGTTAGTTTAAATAGTTTCGATTATATTTGACCTACTTATTTGTTATTTAATTTATAATTAATTTTATTAACACAAAGAATTACCATGAATCAATTAGTAAGGTTTAATTATTTCTCTAAGAGAGAACTTTTCCTAAATATCAGTTTTTAAGCATAAAGTTGTCATTACCCATTAAGAAATAGTTAAATTGTTATGTAACATTTTAATGATTTTTCTTAATTTATCGCAACAATCAGTAGTTCTCGGTTGTCATCAAACAATTCACTATAATTACTACACCACAGTGTAGTAAAGCCACGCTACAGCGTATCACTGCTAAAGCACGAAAAGGTAGGATCGACCGGGGAAAAGACCATGCTCTAAATACCCGCATGTAAATAGCAGCATAATGCAGATATGTTCCGTAATCCGTATAGCGTTTGACGAAAACCGAAGATCCTTTATACTGGTAACGAGGCACTCAATTTTTCTCCTAAAGAGTGCCAACACATCTGTATTTAGATTTGATTCGGACTTCTGTCAGCCATCTTTTACATCTCTGCACGGAGAGGATGACTCACTGACCTATGTCGCAAAGGAGAAATCCGATCTGTTAGGCTCTATCTTTGCGTCCAACTCGACTCTCGATAACTGGGGGAACACACCGCCGACCATCCCACGGTGTAAATGCTCCATGCTGTCCCTGGACATCCACATGTCGAGTGGGCCTGATGGAGTCTCTCCCATTGTGCTGAAGACTACTCCGGAGTTGGCACCGGTTTTTACGCGTCTTTTCCGATACTCCCACTACCAAGGCATAGTCCCGAATTCATGGAAGACAGCTTTGGTGCACCCGATCCCTAAAAAAGGTGACCGCTCAGACCCGTCCAACTACAGGCCTATCACCATCACCTCCTTGTTCTCCAAAATAATAGATTCTATTATAAACTGCCAGCTCATGAGGTTGATCAGCTTGTGATCTTCTGGTCTAACTGACTCATTGACGGGCGAAGGTAGTAGAGTCCTAGGGGGAGGCATTCGCCGTTAGTTTGGACATAGCGAAGGCCTTCGATCGGGTCTGGCACAAAGCGCTTCTTTCGAAGCTCCCTTCCTTTGAGCTTCCCCAGAAATTGTGCAATTGAATCAGCAGTTTCCTTGCTGATCGGAGCATAAAGGTCGTAGCAGACGGTTCATGCTCTGATTACACGCCTATTAATGCTGATGTTCCACAAGGCTGCGTGCTATCACCAACGCTGTTTCTTCTGCATATCAATGATATTTTGCAAACTACCGTTCACCTACATCGTTCATCATGCGTACTGCAAAGGAGTGGAATAAGTTGCCAGCATCTGTCTTTCCATCCGATTACAGTGTGGGTGTCGTCAAGGTAAGAGTAAATAGGCTTTTTTAAAGTCAGTGCGCTTCACCATCTTAGGCCACTTACCACTTACAATCAGGTGGGATTGTAGTTAAGCGCTGGATTAGCATTATAAAAAAAATTCCAGCACAAAGAGGTTCGAATTGTCGACGACCGAGTTCTTTCTGATCGACTGGATTCACTAGTGCTGCGTAGGAATGTTGCGTCCCTTTGCATTTTCTATCGAATCTACCACGGGAAGTGCTTTGAGGAATTGTTCGGATTAACTCCAGCCGCGAAATTTCACGAACGCACATCGCATCAAAATTCACGATAACATCCTCATCATCTGCATGCTTTGCGGTCCACCACTGTGCGTTTTACTAGGAGTTTTCTTCCTCGTACAACTTCTCTGTGGATTTTTTTAGCGTCGATGATTTTTCCGGACCGATACGACTTATACGACCGGCAACGTACCTGCAATTCCCCTGGTGTTGCGATTGTTCATGAGCGGTTCATCTCTTTTATAAAAGAATATGACATAAATAAAAAAATGTCATGCCTATCACGCTGCTCCAACGGATTCTTTTCTTTTTTTTCTTTGCGACATTCACAGGATGATATAGGTTAGGGAATACTCCTTCGCCGCCACTACACGGTGTTTAAGAATGATAAATGAACAATGAACACACAGTCCATCTGATGGTAAGTAGAAGTTGTGGCCCATAAACATCTACGTCTTACCACTTTAAGAATCAAGATTTTTTTTTAATAGGATAGGGTGACAAACGAGCACACAGTCCACCTGATGGTAAGTGGTTGCTGTGGCCCATAGACATCTACATTTATCCTCGTTTGCGAATCAAAATATAGATGCGTTGTCACCCGTGAGGACTAGGTTGGAATGCCTCATTTCCAGTAAAAAGGGCCTCCAGCCACCTGCACTCGCCAAGCGAAACGCATAGGTAAACCTCTACTTCACGCTGGTATTCTGTGAGGTCGTGGTACCACCCCAGTTCGAGCCGGCCCATCCGTGCGACAGCAAAAGCTGCCGCCTGGCTCTACCACTGTTAAATGTAGCAAATGTAGCATTTCAAACCAAAATGCTCGACTCCATAGAGTAAGTAATTCGTTTATGGGGCAATGTATACGCTATTACAACAAAGTCCCAAAAAAATATGCAAGAATTCTCTATTATACCAAGTTTAAAAACTTTATTAAACAAAAACTAAACTCCGCCTGATAATAACCCCTGGGAACGAGGTGGCCGCTTCCTAGCTGTTTCTTAAATAAGTTTTGTAATTAGTTCGTACAACCTTTGTTCGTATTGTATCATTTACTTTGAAAAAATATCTCACATGGTGTCTTGCTGGCTCTTCCTAGAAGAGAGATTTTGTGTGGAACAGTGATAAAAGTAATAATTTAAAATTAAAAATTTTGTACAACCGACTTCAATATAAGTTATAACTCTACTAATATATAAACTCTCACTAAACTATAGGTCAGACCTTGATCAAATTTATATTAAAAAAGAATCATTGAAATCGGTTCACCTAAAACGGATATATGTGTATATATATATATATATATATATATATATATATATATATATATATATGTATATAATATCATGTAAATATTTAATGAATTTAAGTAGATTTATGTTTGTGTACGTCTGTATTATTATATTTACATTTTATGATATCCAATAATATATTCTATATATATATATATATATATATATATATACTAGCTGGCTAGGCAGACGTTGTTCTGCCCTTTTCGACGACCCTTCATATAAAAAATCCTTAAATTCGTAATAACAAAATATTGATTGTCACTTATCAGGATAAAAACTACCCTATCTCTCAAGTTGGACTAAACTGCACAGAGTGCAAATTTTCATTGAAATCAGTTCAGTAGTTTAGGAGTTCATCGCGGACAAACAACGTGACACGTAATTTTTATATATAAAGATATATGTGTCTGGTTTATTCGAACTTTGTTACCTTTTTTTCTTATTATTAGTTTACTTTTGCTGCACTGCCTCCCATATGTTTATCTCTACTTAGCCTAATGGTTATTATAATAAATGCCTTAAGGCATTAAGTCCGCCATATGTACGATTTTTCTTTTGTGCATAAAACTTTAAATAAATAAGAAATAAACATATAGTCTAATTGAGTACCTCCTCCTTTTTGAAGTCGGTAGAAATATGACTTTCAAAAAGAATTACTTGTAATCTATATTGAATAAGAAAATATTATTTTTTATCATAATGGTGCCGTGACATGGCTTATAAATATCAAGCAGGCTTGTCTCGTCGTTTTCAAGACATTTTTACAGGTGACTAATCTCGGATTTGCACCAAACACAAAGCTGACGAGCGTCAGTCAACGATTTGGTTGTTTCAAAATGAGCCAACGCATATCCAAGTGAAGCAATTGAGACGCGCTGGGATGATTCCAACCACTAGTTTTGTTACACTGATTGGCAGGTATATCATCGAAGTAGTATCAATGCTAAATCGTATATTACCAACAGCTTGTCTGAGCTGTGAAAGCATCCCTTAGCTTAGCATGTTTTGAGTAAAATTAGTTTAAGGTCCATTACTAACTAAAATCATATACTAGTTTAATTTACACATTTAAAATTAATTAAGATACGGAATATGTGAAGTTAAGTGATCCAATCATGGCTGACTTCTAATTTCTATTTCTATAAAAACTAAAATTAAAAGATATAATATAGAGTAAACGACGTTTTTTTTTTAAATTTTGTCTCTTTATTTTATAACAACAATTTCGCACATTGAACAAAAACATATTTAATATAAATAATAATGATTATTGTACTAAAGTAGATAATAACTAGGAATGCCGAGTTTTATATTTCTTTTATATTAATCAGATTTTTGCGTTTGAATGCGTCGCTTAATATTTGTGACTAATTTATTTTTATAGAAATTTTCTTATAATTCTTAATTGTATTTGCACTACATAATCAAAGCTTAATGCAAATCCCCCGGTTTAAAACTTGCTGGCGCATGGAAATTTATTTGTCGGATGATCAATTTCAACGCGCATTGAACGATTTCTTACTAGCCGGTAGGATCAGTAAGTGCAATATGGATTATATAGAAGTAGCACGTGATTGTGCTCTTCTTCTTTAAATGCGGCAAAAAACACGTAAAAATACTATGTGCATCCATTATTATTTGAAAGAGCAATGAAGTGGCAATTTGTCCGGTTAATATCACTATGATTACTCGTAAACGACGTCCGACCGATACAACAAACGATTTCAAATAATCGTATCCGGTTGAAATTTCGTATTGAATGTATATTATATTAATTTCGATTAAAAACAAATTAACAAAATAAGTAAAATTAAAAATAAATCAACTGGACTGTTTTTTTTTTTAATTTTCCTCATATTTTATATCAGTAAGTCGTAAAAATTAATCACCTAAAACGTTAGTAAAATTAATTAAAATTAGATAATCATTACCTTGTGTATTTAAGGTAAAAATTAAAATTTGAAATATTTTTGATAGCCTCTAGTCTGCCAACAGAAAGTACCTACATGTTAATTATTAAGCATCGCATTTTATAACGAATGTGCGTCAAAAACATTGCATCACATGTTTTAACATACTTGTATTAATTCATTGATCGTATTAAATCATTGTACCAAAACTTGAGTGGTGACTGACGCTTATAATACAAAAAGTAATTTTTAATACCAAAAAATATTTTTTTGAGTTTTGTTACACTTGCATTTAAAGCTTCTAATGGGAAGTGATTGATAAAAGACTACGTAGTACTATTATTTATTCTATGCTACTATGGGAATGTTACAAAATTCATATACAGATGGCAGTATTACCAACTCGTTTACACCAGACTTGAAATAACTAGAATAGGGACGAGTTGCAGCGTTAAAGATGTAAAAGACTTTTATTGACTGATGAGGAAGAAAAGCTCTTAAATATAAGCTACAAGGGTTGGGCCTCAAATGTCATCAGCCACGATGACAACTCGAGTTCCTATTAAAAGCCCCAAGGGCTACAAAGTAAATTAAAAATAAATAATTTTTGGCTTACTTAGTGCTCGGTGACTTATGAAAACAATGGCGAAGGAATGTTACAAATAAAATTCGGGCATATGAATCCAACAAACAATACTGAAACAGAGTAGGGGATTTTTTTTCACTCCAATAACTTCGTTTGTAAGCAGTAATTTTTTTCTCACTGTGTAGTGGCGGTGTAAGAATAGCCACTACTTACATCGTCCCGTAGATGTCGTGAGAGGCGACGGGGAAAAAGTCAAGAGATATAAAACAGCGTTTTCTTAATAACAAATAACAAGAAAAAACCGCGGGTCCCAACCTGCCTGCCGGGTATTTGTCATAGTTGCCCGCTATGACGCAATCTATGTAGGTAGCCTATTTTCAGCAGTGGACTTTGCGGCAAGGGTAACTTTTTCCTTGAGCGTAAGTCCTCACTCACACGATCACACAATCGCAAGGATAATATCGCTATGGCCAAACTTTTAATTAAAAGGAATTACCAGTAAAATGTATAGAAGTCAGACCTTTTACCACAGCGTAGTTAATGATTCATACCGCATAAAGCGTAACGAGTTAACAATCGACGGCAAGTTGAGTGTAACGAAATAGTTTGAATACCTTCTCTATATTAACTTGGTATTGCTGGATCAAGCAATATACTTTGTAGACGTAAACCTATTGTTAAGATACTATTACTTAATTCATTATAATAAGAAGCATGTCCATAAAATTTCAAAACTATTTCCATATTCGATTAACTTAAGTTAATAAAATCTATGAAATCAACGCCATCTACTAGTGATTAAACTTGAAGTTAAACGGCTTGTATATAAAAGGGTATTGAAAACAACAAAAATGAAACCCAGCTAGATTGAAACTAAAAACCTCAATTGTTCAGATATCATTTAACAAAGAATTATTCGTCGTTTAGAAAAAAGTGATAGAAATGAACAAGTGGACACTTTTTTTGTAGTGTAATTTAGGAATAAACATGGCAAAAATTAATATTTATGTTCTTCTACACTGTCTTAGTCCTTCATCTACCAGTCACGGCACTAAATCTTAAGAGGAGTTTAGTTAAATAGTCATAAGGTCGCTATGGAATATTTTCAATGCAAATCAATTAATTATTACTCTTTATTCGCTTGCAGATGCTGTTTTTACTACTACAAATACAATATAACATATTCTAATGTCAATTTTAAACAATTTAGAATTCAACCACACTTCACTGTTATATATTGTTCCACTGTTATAAAAAAAAATTACAGCCAATGTGTATTTTAACAGCTTATAACAGTATAAGTTGTTGAAACTCACATTGGCTGTAATTATTTTTGAATGTTTACATAAACCACTTAATTACAACTTGGCTATTTTATACAATTAACTAATCTTAAGGTTAAGGGTACATATGGTCCTGTCTTGATATCTTGGCCAACCAAACTGCGCCCGCAACCGCCAAAGCCTAGAAAGAAATTTGACTTATATACTCAACAAACTCATAGCGTTTTGGTAAAAATACATTTATATATATTTTTTAAATAAAAAAAAAACGTTACCCCCACACTAGGACTTTTTCCTGTGTCGTGGAGTCAGTTTACAAACATAAATTGCACAAGGACAAACATCCAGACCCGGAACAATTATTTGTAGGCTATACAAATACTTGTTCCGTGCGGGATTCGAACCCGCGGCCCCCAGCGCAACAACTGATAGCTAAGCCATTGCACCACGGAGCCGTCAATTTAATTATTAAATGATCTTAGTAAGAAAATCACATTCATCTTCCCTTTTCTGTACCTTTTTTATAACAGTAAAGAACAAATGAACTATCAGTGCATCTGACGGTAAGTAGTGACTGGAGCCCATGGACATCATAAACCATCTTCAAACAAAAGGCTATATATATAGTTCCGGTGTCACTATGAGAATTAAAATGGAATGTCTTGCCCTCTTCTTTTTTCGAACGAAACTAAACTAAACGAACACACAGTCCAACTTAAAGCTGTTGCCCCGGCCCGTAGACATCGTTTTATTAAGAAAGTTTATTAAGAATTTTGATTAAGAATCAAAGTACAGATGCGTTGTTACACCTGAGGACTAAGATGGAATGCCTCGTTATCAGTAAAAAGTGTCTCCGGTTCGCTTCACTCACCATACGAAAATCAGCAACAATCTGTTACAATTTCACGTTGGTGTACTTTGCGAGCTTGGTGTTTCTCTACTCGAGTCGACTCATTCGTACTGGTCTATTACGTAAAAAAAAACGTTTTTTATCGTATAATCCATAACTCAGCTGTGGGTATACTGCTGCAAAACAAGAGTCCTATCATCAGTAAAATATTCACTTTTTTATGTGACAACAATAAACTCAATTATTATGGTAATGACGTATAAGACTTATTTGGCAACACATCTCTTTTCAATACATCATTAATACTCCTCGTAAGTCCACTTCATAATATAAGTTCTTAAAACTCCAAAGACTTTCATAAAACGCGGTATGGATCCAACTGTATCCATCGATTGATTCTCTACATGCATGAGCATGATCCACATTATTAGTTGAGATTTATTTGAACGTTAAATGTGAGTAGTTCAAAGCAGTTTCAAAGCAGCCGCAAAGAAGCTAATGGTTCTTGCAAAGGTGCGGCTATATTTTACACCAGAACAGCTTCTTACCTTGGGCTGGTGGTGCAAAATGCCACCTAGCTGCACTGTACTCAGTGGAGGGTCGTGCTAACAGGCTTATTGGTGAACTTGATTTGGTTAAACAAATCTCTCGGTTTTCTTTAGGACACATGTCGGAAAGTTTCTGCGCACTCTATATAATTAAAGAGGAACTTAAGGAAAAATAGTCTTAAGAAATCACATCATACCTGCAATAACACTAAGAAAATTCCAGTAACGCCGATAGCAGCGGCATGCGACTTCACCCAGGAACCGAAGGCATCGGAACAACCGGTATTGTACGCGACGGTGACGTTGCAGGTGAAAGTCTGTACTGTGCCGTACACGTGGTCACAACAGCTCACCGGCAAACCCTTTGACTCGACTGTACCCAGAGGGACCAACCAATCGCTAGAGTTTACTACGCCACAGCAGGTGAACTGCGGAGTTTTAAAATTTTGTATGTAAATAAAAAAAAACATTAGTTTTTTTTTACATTAAAGGCTAAAAAATAAATCAGATAATGAGTATTTCAACGTAAACATATTCAATTTGGAAAAAAAGTTATTGTTGCTTGATTTTGGCTTTTTCACTGACGCTTCATTAAAAGTTATTTTTTTAAATATATAATAAAGGTGAGAAACGAGCACACATGTTGTTGTTAACTTGATGCTGTGGCATCTATATCTATCCTCGGTTAAGAATGAAAATGTAAATGCATTGTCACCCCTGAGAACTAAATTGGAATGCCTCGTTTCCAGTAACAAAGGTCTCAAGTTCTCTACACTCACCAAACGAAACGCTGCTATTTCACGCTTGTATTTTGCGAGCACGTAGTCCTTCCCGGTTGAGCCGACCCATTCGTGCTACAACCACAATGAGCTGAAGCATTTCTCTACGACGTATATAATTATTAATATAGCTCAACTTCCATTACCAGCTTTCTGACTATTTAGTATAAATATTTTTTTTAATTATTTTGGAACTTATTATTTTTTAATTATTTTATCTGGACAAGTGTTTCGGTAAAATAACCATTAACATCAAGCCGTCGTATTATTCGTATATTTTTCATCTTCATCTTCAGCCAGTGAAGGCTACTGGTCATAGGCTTTTCCAGTTAAAGGAGGTTTCACTTTAATTATCACACTTGGTTCACGCCTTGCACCTATGATGCAGCTCGCCGTCACCGGTTAGGGTATTGTATGTATCTATCTATCAGAAGCCATTAGATCTTTCCGACGGTTCTCATAGTCGCTTTTTACGAACCCCATGACTTGTACCACGCGCCGTGTGATATAAGTAGCGGCACGAATGTCTAGCGGTGACCGTTATTACGCATAAGTCGCGCTGATTGGCTCGTGCGTATCGTTTGCACGCGCTGATTGATTCTCCAGTCGTATTCGTGTCATTCAATTTGTGCGCGTACCCTCCACGTTTCGTTCAGCGCTAGACTTACGTGCCGCGACTTGTAGCAGCATAAGAATATCAATCATCGCATTTCATCTCAACATTTTTTTAAATTAAATACAAAATAATTTTATCTTCAGAAATAAAAACTTACATCCTCTTGCACTTCATCCCACAACTTGGTCACCTCGAAGTTTTTATCGGCACCATAAAGATCCATCGTGCTCATCAACGTCTGCTGCACCAAAGCCACCGTGTGACCCTTCAACACGTACCCAGCAATGCATGCAGATAGTTGGAATATAAACATCAATATCATTGATCCGGCAAACTGAAATTGAAAATTTTTCATTTGGATGTTAGAACCATTCACATTATAATATTTAAATAATTTTAAGTTGTCTTATAAGAGAAATTTTGTAATTACTTTAGGCGACTAGTAATACAGAGAATAATATGGAAGAAAAAAATAAAATAAATCTGGTTTAAAATGTCCTCCACACGAATCTAGCCGATCTGTGCATGACTAGATTATAGTGGACCCTGTATTCCATTATTCATTTTCATAGTCTAATGGGACCGGAAGCTGAGGCGCAGGACCAACAGCTTTACGTGCTTTTTTATAGGATAGAGTGACAAACGAGTACACAGTCCACCTGATGTCAAGTGCTTGCTGTGACCCATAGACAGACATCTACATCTATCCTCAATAAATAATCAAAATGCAGATGCGTTGTCACCCGTGAGGACTAAGATGGAATGCCTCTTTTCCAGTAAAATGGGTCTCCGGTTCTCTACACTCACCATGCGAAACACAGCAGCGTTAAGCTGCTGTTTTACGCTGGTATTCTGTGACAGCGCGGTCCTTCCATGATCGAGCCGACCCATTCATGCTACAACTATACTACTAATATTGCTGCAGCATGGTGCTACCACGTTTATACTACAAATATAGCTGCAGCATGGCTCTACGACGTTTATACTACTAATATAGCTGCAGCATGGCTCTACCACGTTTATACTACTAATATAGCTGCAGCATGGCTCTACCACGTTTATACTACTAATATAGCTGCAGTATGGCTCTACAACGTATAAGTGTTTTCGCAAGCTTCTTGGCTCCGGGCTGCTACTGAGAATTTCTTGACTGAACAACCCAATAACTAATTTTGGCCCCACCCGAGATTTGGACCCAGGACCGCATAATCAGCAGTCGCGCTTATGGATACAAGACTAACGGAACAGTCAATATGCTGTATGCAAAATACTTGTAAAAATTCAGCAGCGATTTATTCAGAGAAAAGTTTTTAGATTGCAATAAAAACTTAATCAAAGCCTATCAGGGTAAACCACATAATCTATGGGCACACGGGTACACCTATCCTAAGAGCAACTATAAACGAAATTCCTAATTTCAACGTGAGTGAAGCCGCTGGCGTTTGCTAATATGTAATACCACAGGTAGGTAATACATATTAGCATTAATTAAATTCACATTCTAGCTCATAAACTCTATACACAAGTAAAACCAATGAAATTATTAAACGTGTGACCTAGTATCAGTGTAACCCTGTCAGAGACCTCTGTGTAGCAGTTTCTGTATTCGAATTCTATCCGGAGTGAAGATATAAAGAAAACACGAATTGTTGAGTTTCTGGTATGATTGCAATACGTATATCTCTGGCACTGCACCCGCCTCTAAACTTATCGCGTAGATGGTACATCGCGCATTGGTAAGACGAGTAAAGAATAGAGTTTTACTCAGCTGATTAGTTCCGACAAATCCACCATCGAGCAACCAGACGCTCAGCCAGTCTTCACCGCTTTGTTATCGACAGACCACGCATTCGAATTAAACAGTTTGCTTCGTCGTTCGTCGTATGCACAGAATAGAATAATTTGCCAGCATATATCTTTCCAACCGATTACAAAATAGGTATCCTCAACATAAAAGTAATATAATTCAGAAACTTCTATTAAGGTAAGTCAGTGCGCTTTACCTTCTTTCGAATACTTTTGAATAAAATATTACGAACACTGTGGCGTCGAAAGTTAAGGGAAGGAGGTTAGGGCAGCTATGAGCTCGTATTTATGGTTCTAGCGGATTCGGGCGGCAGCAACACATACTAAACCATTGCTTATAATACCATAATAATGTATATTATATACTTAGTTTATGGATTAATTTTCCAAAATTTCACATTGTTTAATATGAAATTTTGGTATCATAAAATTGGTAATATTCTATATATTACAAACCTTAAGTAGCCTGATATGAATCGAAATCTTAATTGATAAGAATTTACAAACAAACTGTATAATTTATGCTCCAACGATAAAAAGGAATCGGTTATGTATGTTTTTACAAATTTTTCGGTAAACAGAATAGAATAATATATTATATTGTGTTCTTAGCACTATTTAATAATTAATACTATATTTCTTAAGCTAAATAAAGTCTTTTTATAGGATTAGGGGTAACAAATGATCACATACCTGGATGCTGCTAGACACCAACATTTAACCTCAATTAAAATACACGAGTACGAGTAAAAAGAGTCTATGGGTCTCGTCTCTCACCATACAAAACACAGCAACATTATGCTGTTATTTCGTTATTTCACGCTGGTATTCTGAGCGTAGTCTATCCCCAGTCGAGCCATTCGTATACATAATACACTACAGCATGGCTCTACCACATATACAGCAATAATGAACTTTTAATAAAAAGTCAAAAACATAAAATATTAAAATAATTTTCATATAGTAGCTCAGAAGCTGTCTTAGCAGACGTAGTATTTCAAAGAATCAAAGGCCCTATTTTGTAGTAGAACTCCTTTATTGCCCAGGGGTCCATCTGGGTAGATCCATCCTCTTACTGATTTCTGCCGCCAAGTAGAAGTGCTTGCACTGTTGTATTGCAGTCAGAAGGGTGTAGAGTCAGTATAAGTCCAGGCTGTTAGGCATTCCATCTTAGTCCTCAGTGGTGACATGGCATTTTTTGTAGCCTTCTTTGTTTGATGTTGGCTGCTTGTACCCATAGCCCATACCATCAAGTGGACTGTTACAGTTCGTCACTTCTGTTTTATAAAAAAAAACTATTATGTCGAGTTTCTTTTTTATTTATAAAGTCAGATTGTACTTTTTATTATTAGAATAATTATTATATGTGTGATGATATAATGATTATGGGTAGTCTAAGGTATACACAGAAAAACCAGCGTAAAATTGCAGCTTAACGCTGCTGTGTTTCGTATGGTCAGTGTAGAGAACCGGAGACCCTTTTTACTGGCAAAGAGGCATTCCATCTTAGTCCTCACGGGTGACAACGCATCTGCATCTTGAGTCTTTATTGAGGATAGATGTAGATGTCTATGGGTCACAGTAACCACTTACCATCAGGTGGACTGTGAGCTCGTTTGTCACCCGATCCTATAAAAAAAAATATCACAAGTTCAAGGCAACAAATAAAATTTCGTCTAAACGGTTACATTAAAGTTTTCACCCCCTATTTTCTACACTAAGGTATGGATTTTTTCTTATAATTTTTATAGCACCACCACTAAAGTATAGCGTGTTTAATAAAAAAAATAATCACCTTAAACGGTATAGCCGTTTCCGAGAAATTGGTGAACTTATATAAAAAAAAACATACGCGTTAATTATAGAACCTACACAATTTTGAGCTCGGTTCAAAATATATTGTCCGGAAATTGGTCTCATTACAAACACTTTCAATCGCGGATAAATAAAAGCCAGGAGTAAATATAGATTATTATTAACAGACATAGAGTTAGTAATCAGTGACCATTTATTTTATCAACTTTTTACAAAATAAAAATCTCTAAGTTTTTCGGAAAAAATATAGCTTGGAGCATTCCAGGCATTGCTCACTATATGTTCGTGAAGTTTCATTGGTTCCGCCATTCCGAAGATTAGCCCGAAGAGACAGACAGACAGATAACAATTTTACAAATGGTTGTACCACGCTCTCACAGAATACCAGCGTAAAATAAAAGCTTAATGCTGCTGTGTTTCGTTTGGCGAGTGTAGAGAACCGGAAACCCTTTTTACTGGAAAAGAGGCATTCCATCTTAGTGTTCACGGATGTTAACACATCTGCATTTTATTCGCAAACGAGGATAGATGTAGATGAAGCCGGTGGAAGGAAAAGGGGAGATCTCCCGCCGGGCAAGGTGTTCTGCCTGGGGAGCGGCCAACGCTTCGATTGGTAGTTCGAAGCCATTCTATATATGCTGATTTAACTTCGGAACTTTGTTAGCGCGATTTAGGCTTCGATATGTTTCGCTTGTGGCGTGACGACAGCGCCGCCACATCACCCCCCTGCTCAGACCGGAGGTCGATAGTGCAGTCTAGATGTCGACGAATTTGCAAGTGCCAGGGAATTGCCTTGTAGTCTGCGGTGAGTCGAGAAGAAGGCAAGTAATATGCGAGAGTGCCGTGAAGCAGAGGTGAGCAGTAAGGCTCAGAGCCGTGCCGAACACTGTAGCGCAGAGAGTAGCTTGAACGAACAGGAAGCATTATTATTTCAGTGCTGCGATGAACCTTTGTAAAGCTAGATGGCTTGCTGAATGTGAAGACTGCAGACAATAACAACTCGGGAGCGAATGAATGGGGTACTTGAGGATGATGACGAAGGTTTGAATTTATAGTTTCCGAAGGTTACTGGTTGCGTGTTCATATCACGTCGGGTGGTCACCACTGTGGCGATGGAAGGAAAAGGGGAGATCTCCCGCCGGGCAAGGTGTGCTGCCCGGGGAGCGGCCAACGCTCAGATTCGTATTTTGGAGCTATTCTATATATTATGCTGCTTTAACTTCGGAACTTTGTTAGCGCGATTTAGGCTTCAATATGTTTCGCTTGTGGCGCGACGACAGCGCCGCCACATAGATATCTATGGGTCACAGCAACCACTTACCATCAGGTAGACTGTGTGCTCGTTTGTCACTCTAACCTTTAAAAAAAACATACGTCCCACTCTTGGGCACAGGTCTCCTCTCATTTCTGGGAAGGTTTTAAGGAAGTGTCTTGCGTTGCCCCAGAGTATATTGGTAGAGTTTACAAATCTTTGAAATATTTTTTTTTATTGGCACATGTAGGTTTTCAATCACCGCCGAGTACGTGGTAAATCATCACTTAAAATATAAACTAACAATTTCTTTGGTGTAGGCGTTGCTCGCGTATTGCAAAATTTACAACGGACGCCTGAGCCCCTGAGCTACCAAGGTTCTTGAGCTGCATATGTATTCGCAAAGCTAAGATTTTACGTTAAAATATTTTAAAGATAATAATCATATGATGACGAAACAATATGTTTCATATTATTATCATTTCAACGCTTAGCAAACGTAGACAAATCAGACGACTCCAAAATTTCCTAAAGAGCAAAAATGTCGTATTTTATAATTAAGAAAAACAATAAAGCATTGTATAGTTTTAAACATTTGTATAATATATAACATAGATTAGGTACATAATTTATTTAGAGAGGGAATAGGTCTTGGGGAACTCAAAAACATCCATCCATCCATCGCAGCTAATCAAAGTCAACTGCTGAACTTAGGCCTTCCTATAGATTCCCGGAGGTATTTAGGAGATATTTGCCATAGTTTTTTTTAGAGAGTTTTTTTATTTTCTAGTTGATAGGAACACGCTGCTTGTCTACTGGTTTGTTTCCCTCTATCGCTTTTAACGATACCCAAGGGATGATATGGGGAAACAAGCATAACTACCAACCGCAGACAGCTCAAGTTATGAATAAAAAGTAGAGGTGGTCTGGTGATTACATACTCTGTGGTAATAAACACTATTTGTACTTACCGTCATATTCATGTAATAATTTTCCGTGTAAGCTCCATAGAAGCCGAAGAAGGAAATAAGGAAAATGATGACTCCAGTTGCGATACAAAACGCTGGCAAAGAGAAGAATCGCTCCGAAAGAAATTCATGGTAACCATTATAGGCTGATTGCACTGAACTACCCACAGATAATATAACTATACCAGTTATCTGAAACATAAATCACTTTCAGTATCACTTGCTGATTTTACTTATCGTATTCAAGCGACAGCACTGGCACGTTACGACTTACCAAAAAAAGGAAATTCACTGTAACCAGCGTGTATTTAACAGTTGTGAATATTTTTGACCACATTTTGCATTTAATTTTGGACACAACAACCGCACGACACTTCCTCGGGACGTGTTAACGTCGTATAGTTTTAGTTTGGATATTTTTATCAATGCGGTAATCTTGATAAGAAAAACAAGCGGATTTATCTCGCCTGGTGCCGCTGCGTTGATCGAGTTTCCACTACCACTACCACCTTTTTCGTCATATGATGCCTCTTAATATTAATGTCTTCAATCTTATCAAGTGATGGCTCGTTATCAACTCTTCTAATTATTTTTAAACTAAAATCAACTTAGTATTAAATATAAGGTGTAGTAAGACAAGTAGACATTTAAATTTTGATTCACTGTTAATATTTTTTTATTCATATTGCATGTGATTCAGAAAAGAGTTGATAATACAGATACTTCTAAGGCTATTCTTCAAGTGTTTTGTTGATAATGAATATTAGTCATTGAAAACGAAGCAACAACGAAAAATTAATAAAATAGGTACCACAATAAAATGGTAAATAAGTAAATTATGCCAAAATTAGGTCCTTTGGGTCCAAAATTACTCATTTTCTACTTTGAAGGACAATATTTTTCATTCTATTAGATCTTTATAGTATAAATTAACGTCATTATGAACTGCCAATGTGCCAATAATTTCGAATATAAATTCCATCGCGGCTCAAATGATGCACAAAATGCACGCAATATAAATGTTGTTTAAGGCCAGTTAACGCATGATGCGTTTTTGGTCAGCGACGACGTAACCATTTATTTCGCAAAAAGTTTATTTTGTATAGACACTGGCCAGCTAGCCAGTATATAGACTGCCACATAGGAAGGATATAACATAGTGGCTCAGGACCGTGCTTTGTGGCATTCCTTGCCTATGTTCAGCAGTGAACTTGTATATATCTACATATGAATTAATTTGTCTTCAATAAAGTATATTCATATGTATATTTTAAGTTAGTTGTAAGTTCCTTTATCACAACAGTTTTATAACAACAAATGCAATTGTTTTAAAGTGCATTTACCTTAATTTACTGAAAAATAATTTTCCACATAATAGCTTATGAAGTTGGTGCTAAGACATAGTTTATCGAAGAATTAAAACCCTGAGCATAAGAGATATTAAGTGGAAATGATTTTTTCTCAGTTTTTAAGTAATCAACTTACTGTACTTTCTATTAAAAGTTTAATCCACCCTTTTGTGTGGTATAAGGAATATCACGAGTTTAAACTAACAACAATATATCATCTAATTACATTAAAATCCTCATCCCATATTTTCTACCCTTAGGAATGGAATTTTTTCTTGATATTTATATGTGAGTAACCCTAAAGTACGAGTATAGCCTATTTGATAAAAAAAAAATGTGAACATAAATAACTGAAAACATAGGTACTTTTCGAATATTTAAAACCTTTTCGTTTTTTTAACTCAAAAATACGAATATTCCAATTACAAATTTCCTTTCACATTATTATCACGACCATAATTGAAATATGGAACATTCCTACGTGATGGTTTTTTACTTTTTCAAATGTCGAATTGCCTAAAATTGTCCGAATCGTTTAATAGATTTCAAATGGCCTTTATGGATAAATGCAACCGTGAACCGCTGGTATAACAAATTCACAGCACGGTCACGGTCGGATGTGCGCGCCTTTTTGTCACTTTTTATGGAATAAAACATGCCAAATTGGCTACTGCTTCACCATGGAAACGCGCGCGCATAGTCAGCGCTCAAAACAAGGGACTTCTTAGACAGCACATCGGTTAAACTTTTGGACCACCCTCCTTACAGCCCTGATTTGACATTTTTTCTTGAAATTAAAAAATCAGCTCAAAGAAATACCGTTTTCACCACCGACACCGACCGATGCGCTACCGGCGTTAGAGCAGGCCGAAGAAGAGCTGTATCAGGTGAACTGGAAAAAGTGTTTCGAAAATTGATTCAGACGTATACAACTTTGTAAAGATAATGAATATATATATATATATATATATATATATATATATATATATATATATATAAACATAAACATAAACATAAACACTCACGCCTGTCACCCAGAGGGGTAGGCAGAGATTATGGACTTCCATTTGGCACGATCCTGACACACCTCTCTCGCTTCCTCCACATCCATATACCTACGCATACACGCTCGTCGGTTAAAGGTACTCTTGATTTGGCCCATTTTTAATATATCGCCAATTTGGTCGATAAACTTTCGCCTAGGGCGACCCTTCCCGACTATGCCGTTATATATATATATATATATATATATATTAATAAAACAAACTTTAACCATAGAACTTTTTTTTAGTTTCGTATAACTTTCTGAGTGTACCATGCAATGGCGAATCGAAAACCATATTTGAATCGGATGCATCTATCCGACAGGCAACTTTCTGTAAACTGTCGTACCCGTCAGTTTCTGCTATTGATTCCCTCTTTTTACAGAATGTTGATAACTTGTTTTTAAGGAAAATATTTTAATTCCGATGAAGTGGCGAAGAATTCTTCAATTCTACGTTTTAAAGAATTAATTGATTTCATTCCCAAAATTTTTATAGCATTGGCGTAGCGTAACTTTCATTAAAATGGCAAGAATGTATATGTATATAACGTATTTTTACATTTAATTATCTTTATCGATTACTCATTATCTATTTTTTTTAATAATACAACATACTTTCTAATGATAAAACAATGTTGGAAATTATCTATAGAAACGATTATTTGAAGAGACTATTTGCAATACTATTTAAGTGCGCAAGTTATTGCAATAATAATTATATTAAGGAGTAGGCTCAGCCCCAAAATATGTGATAATATATTGCCTTTTTGCGATAATGAAATCATTACTAAGCAGTCAGAAGATATTATCTGTACAGGAAATATTAAAATACCGTAATCACATTAGCAAACATAGAATTTTTGCAGTAGTCTTCTCCATCATCTTCTATATTTTATCTGTAGTGAGAGTAAAAAGCGTCGTCCACTTCAGACTACACATTCAGATTCATGATACAGCGGAATTCTTATAATACTTACATAATGTAAAGTTTCCGAGAATCAAGGAAAAGAAGTAACTCATTATCACTTACATACCTATATACTCGTACACTAATAAAATAACTTTTTCTTCGCAAACACTTGGATCAATCACATAATATGGATATTATGATATAAAACAGAATATTCTACTACAAACATGGGCGAAAAGAAAATTGGTTTTAAATAAAAATAAAATTCACAGATTTGTATTAATTTACAGTCTTAAAAACTAACTGCAAGCCACAACTATATAAAGTATTAAAGGCAATACAGAGCCGTCACACTACGAAGTGTTACCAGTGATAAGAAATACGCATTCTTTCATTGCACAAACCAATTTAATTTGCATAGTTATCCACACAAGTTCATTTAATCCCCAATTACTTATACATTTGAACTCGTTAACGAACTGTGTGTTGTAAACGTTACATCATATCACGTAGTTCGTAAAGTTGAATAAGCATTCTGTGTCATTTTTAAGGAAACTTTGCATCTCCTTTTCCATAAAATTAAAATAGTCATAACATTTTCTGTTTAAAATTAGATCAGTTTTCCATATCGCACAAATAATGCACGTGTATTCTTGTCTTGGCCGGTACAAAAATGGCGGTATCTTTCAGAACTCTCACTTGCGCCTGAAATGTCTGGACACACGCCACTTATCTGATTAAGTAGGTGGATGCAAAGGAGAGGTACATAGCTACAACTGATATCGTGCCAAAAACTCACGACTTAATATTTAGTACCCAAATACTTTGTACTTGCTATTAAGGGCAACAAACAACGACAATTTACAGAGTATGGGTTTTCTGATAGTGTGTTCAATGTAAAAATATTTGTAGATTGATTTCGGTATGATGTTAGATATTTGTAAGAGGATGGTACCTACACATACAAGACCATATAGGCAGGAAAAGAAGTCATACCACTTAGAAAACTTCTATGATTTTTCAACCACTGAAATACCGGAACTCTTCTGAAATAGAACTTCCTGATAATATAGAGATAATAATATTTGATAGGGCTTCTTTACTATTTTACTTTCCATATGGATACATACCATTCTCTAGTCTGTTTATGCCGTTGAAACTATCGATTAGCGGCATAAATAAACATGAGAGATTGTTTCCATTGTTTTGTTCCAGTTTTAAGGACATATAGAGTCAGTTTAAATATCAATAGGCTGTGAAATATTCCATCAGTTTCAGGAGTGACAATGCACTTTTTCCGTCGTTTTTCTTATAGCTGGTTGAAATCAGTTTCATATGATGTACAGTTACCAGACCGGCTGAAAAGTTCGCGGCCTAGGGTACTTAACGACGAGTAATTAGCTTGTTACTCATGTCACTAGTTGCAACTCTCACTAGTATTATAAAAGCAATCACTAATTAAGTTCGCAGTCATAGTCCAATTATTTATTGAACAACAAACACCACAATGTCAGCCGAATCTGAAAATTTTCGGAATTTTGAACACCGCGCCGTGATAAATTTCCTCGTAAAAAAGGGGAATACACTGAAAGACATTTTAAAGACATGTCATAGGTTCTTCAGGATTCTGTGCTTTCATATACAATGCTGAAAAGATGGGCCCGCATATTTCAACAAGGACGAGAGAGCTGTGAAGACGACCCTCGCCTGGGCCGCCCTGTTACGCTACTGACTGAAGAAAACGTCCGAAAAGTCGAAAAAATCGTTCTGGCCGATCGAAGAATTAAATTGTGGCAGATTGCTGCAGAACTTCAATTTAGCAAAGAATGAGTTAGAGAAATTTTACATGAACATTTGAATATGAGAAAAATTAGCGCGCTCTGAATGCTCTCACCACTCAACAAGCAACGTCGATTCTCAAGTTGCAAAGATTTTTTGGAGCTAGTCGGCGAAAACAAGGAAGACATTTGGCAACAGATATTCACGGTAGATGAAACATGGATTCACCAATATGATCTGTAGTCCAAACAAATGGACTCTTGTTTGCAAAAAAATGCAATGAATAAAAAAAGAAGGGCCGCCGAAGAAATTCAAGTTGGAAAAGTTACTTTTCTTATCGACTAGGGGAACTACGATAAATGGCCAATATTACGCCAATTTTTTTAACTCAAATTCACGAGGCTATTTTACAGTAACGACGTGGGAAACTGACGCGCGGAGTGCTCTTTCTGCGAGACAACGTGCCCGTTCACACCGCACATGTTGCGAGGCAAGCCCTGAAACCGTGTCGTTCAGAGATTGACCACACTCCGTATAGCCCAGACTTAGCACCTAGCAATTTTTCCTTTTTTACAATTTCAAAAAGGACTTATGGGGCCGGAGATTTGCAGATGACAACGAAATGAAAGCTGCGGTTGATCGTCATCAAGAGAAAGACACAGAATATTTTATGGGTGGGTTAAAGGCATTGTATGCGAGATGTGAGAAATGTATTTCACTTGATGGAGATTATATTGAAAAATAAAAAATAGAAAACATATTTTTTTATTAAGTACCTAAGGCCGCGGACTTATCAGCCACCCCTCGTAGCTTTAAATGGCTCTAATGTTCCCACTGGGTTTCTTGCTGGTTATTTTCAGGATAGAGTTCTTTTCGGAACTAGTAGTAGAAGCACGAATGACTTTCAATGAGCATTACTTCTATATATTGAGAAATAAAATTCTATTCTATTCCATTCCATTCTATTCCACTATTTTCCCTTCTATTCCATTCTACTCTATTCTGATCTGTTCTATTATTTTCTATTTTATTCTATTCTTTTCTAATCTAGTCATACTAAGGGTAAAAAATGACACTACGCTAATTTTCATTAAATCTTTATTTTAACAATAAATATTAAACAACGTTGACGTTATAATTCACTTATTCTAGTTTGAATTAAAACCATATCACATATAAACCCATGTCAAGAAAATTAAAAATATTGAAGGACTTGAATAGGTCGTGGCAGTTACACGGGTAATACAGTACAAGGGCTTGTAGATGGCCTGCTTTTGACTGTGGGTTTCTTTCATTTTACCTACATTATTGGGAGTTATACTCGTAATCTACTGCTCACCAGATGTCGCTAGTTGGGACTGAGGTGAAGTTTTTTGTTACTCAATGTAATTTAATTGAGAAGAGTGTATTAAATAAAAGTTTATTAGTTTCTAGAGTATTATATCAATACACAAAACAAAACCTAAGGTTTGGTATTTACTTTTTTTACACATTTTAAACTCTTTTTTTTAATTTATTCACTTTTAGGAATATCCGTAGTTTGGTTTATTTATTTTTAATCTAATTAATATAAAGTGTAACTAAAGTTACAGAAAGAAACATTATCCCTTATATTTTCCTAAGAAACTATCTTCCCCGCCCCTATATATAATGTACTCTGTGCTTCCCCGTTATAAAATCTATCAAATATTTCACCTTATTCTAAAGAGGCTTCGCGCCCCCTGATGACAGAAAAAGTTCGTGATGTAAAAGCCCTCATTGCCCGCAATAATTATAAAAAGAACAGGTACCTAAGTACGAATTAATTATTATTTCTCTAAGAAAACATGTAATCTGTGTTCAATAAAAAAAAAAAAATCTTTATACGTCACGCATTCTAAGCATTATGATTTTTTTTATGTTAATTGACTGACCTATTTCCTATGATGCGAAATATAATTAGTTTACATTACAATTACTAATTTGTTCTACAAAAAGCAAAAATAATTTAATAATTTTCTTAAAATTTTATTTGATTTTTTTTAAATAAATTAATAACGTTTACATGTTCGGGACCGATATCTTTTAACCTATTATGAAAATGAATACTTATTATGTAAATTCTATCTATATTTTGAAGTTTCACTTAAGTTTAATGTTACTTCAAGACTCTAGTTCAACTTCTTCGAATTTTGATCTCCAAGCTAACCAGGCAGACGCTGCTGTGATCAATACCTGAAATATTAAAATGTACTTCGATAAAACCAACATTTATCGCCATTTCCACGGTATTTTCTAATTTCTCTCCATATTTCGCTTTTAAGAACCTCGCATATAATTTTAGAGAAAGGGTTAAATTGTAGGGTCTCTAAATTACATTTTTTTTATAATCATGATATAGGTTGGCCGATTCCACTATCAATTATTATGTATTATATATTCTGTGTTTATTAAAATATGTATCTATACTGGATAATTTTAAACCTTTTCAATAAGGGGGAGGTTCCCAATTCGACTGTATTGGAACGAAGTTCTTTATCGGACAGTACGGATGTGGCGGATGGGGGCTAGATGACAAAAAGTGTAAGATTTTTCCGTCACGACCTCTTCTGACATAGTGTAGACGGTCTTGACGGCTATAAGGAAGCAAGATGGAATAATATCCGTCTCCCTCGCACTTTTTCTTATCTTGGTATGAAAGAAATATTATTTTATTTTAAATGACGCTTCATTTTAATAGATAGACGCTAGTAATTCAATTATTAGTATTTGATAATCAATAATATAATACGTTTATCAATAATAATATTTAGTAAAGGAATTTCAAACCAACCGAGTGTTCCATGACACTCACGCATGCTTTTTTTTTTTATAGGAGAGGGGGCAAACGAGCATGCGGCTCAGCTGATGGTAAGTGACTACCGCCGCCCATGAACAACTGCAACACCAGGGGAATCGCAGATGCGTTGCCGGCCTTTTAAAAAGGAGTACGCTCTTTTCTTGAAGGTCCCTAAGTCGTATCGGTCCGGAAAAATCGCTGATGGTAATCGATTCCACAAGGAGGTCGTGCGAGGAAGAAAACATATTCTAAATCGCACAGTGGTGGACCGCCAATCATCCAGATGGTGTGGATGGTATCGGGAGTTCTGCCGCGATGTGCGTTCGTGAAATTTGGCGGCTGGGATTAATCCGAACAATTCCTCAGAGCACTCCCCATGGTAGATGCGAAAGAAAATGCAAAGGGATGCAACATCTCTTCGCAGTGCCAATGAATCGAGCCGATCGGAAAGGGCTCGGTCGTCGACAATTCGAGCCGCTCTGCGTTGGATGCGGTCAAGTGGAAGGAGCTGGCACTGGGGAGCCCCTGCCCAGAGATGGGAACAGTATTCCATGTGAGGCCGAACTTGCGCCTTGTAAAGTAGCAGGCGGTGTGCCGGCATGAAATACTGTCCCGCTCTGCTGAGCACGCCAAGCTTTTTAGAGGCCAATTTGGCCTTCCCTTCCAAGTGACCACGAAACTGCACGTCACTCGATATGTCGACTCCGAGGATACCGATACTGGCTGAGGCAAGAAGGGGAGTGCCTTGAAACTGAGGAGATACGACAAAGGGGTTCTTTTTAGCGGTAAACGCGCAAACTTGTGTCTTCTGAGGATTAAATTGGACTAGATTTAGTCGCCCCCAATCCGAGACTTTGTTCAGCAAAGACTCGACTTCAGACACAAGTTTGTTCCGGTACTCAGCGACGTTTTCCCGAGAAATATTGGCACGGCCGGTGTATAGAGCATCACCAGTGCTGTCATCCGCATAGCAATGAATGTTACCAGTTAGCAACATATCATTGATATGCAGAAGAAACAGCGTTGGTGATAGCACACAGCCTTGTGGAACACCAGCGTTAATAGGCTTGTAGTCAGAGCATGCACCGTCTACAACGACCTTGATGCTCCGATCTGCAAGGAAGCTGGTGATCCAATTGCACTATTTCTCGGGAAGCCCATAGGAAGGGAGCTTCGAAAGAAGCGCTTTGTGCCAAACCCGATCGAAGGCCTTCGCAATGTCCAGACTAACGGCCAACGCCTCCCCCTTGGACTCTACTGCCTCCGCCCATCTATGGGTCAGGTAGACCAGAAGATCACCAGCTGATCGACCCCGACGAAAACCGTATTGGCGGTCACTAATCAGCTGGTGATCCTCAAGGTACCGGATGAGCTGGCAGTTAATAATGGATTCCATTATTTTGGAGAACAAGGAGGCGATCGCGATAGGCCTATAGTTGGATGGGTCTGAGCGGTCGCCTTTTTTAGGGATCGGGTGGACAAAAGCTGTCTTCCATGAATTCGGGACTACGCCTTGGGAGTAGGAGTACCGGAAAAGACGCGTTAGGACCGGTGCCAACTCCGGAGCACACGTCCTCAGCACAATTGGGGGGATTCCGTCAGGCCCACTCGACTTCTGGATGTCCAGGGAGAGCAGTGCTTTGCGAACCGAGCGCTGTGAGAACAGCACATCCGGCATGGAGCACTCACACCGCGGGATGGTCAGCGGTGTTTTCGCCCCGTCATCAAGAGTCGAGTTGGACGCAAAAAGGGAGCCTAAAAGGTCGGCTTTGTCTTTTGCGTCATGGGCCAGTGAGTCATCCTCCCTGTGCAGAGATGGTAGTGATGGCTTACAGAAATTCCCTTGGACAGCCTTGGCGAGAGACCAGAATGCACGGGTTCCCGAAGGAAGGCGAACTAGTTTCTCGCCAATTCTGCCCATGTGCTCAATAAAAAATTCTTTTTTAGCTATGTTATACGATATCTTCGCAGATTGTAAACCAATTTTGATGATTCTTTTTTTTTTATTAAAGGTGGTCCCATATACTTTAAGAGCGGTTCCACATTTGGAGAAAAAGTTTCGCCCCTAATATAGCAAATAAATAAATTGTTTTTTAGCAATTTGAAATGGGGTTTTATTTTTTTTAAAGTTATAATTGCTTCTACTGACGTAAAAAAAAAGATTACAGGATTTATTTCGATAATTTGAATGTATCTTTCTTGTTCGTATATATGCAAAAACTAATAAGAGGTTTTTATCTAAGTTATTTAAAAAAAAATAACCTGTAAAGAAGTGACAGTCCCCGCAATGACACCTATGATAAACGCGTAGTGGCCCAACCATTCGCCAAGTGCACTAGCGCAACCCACGTTGTAAGCGTTCCCAGATGTACATTCAAAGGGCGAAATCGTGCCGTAGTCAATGTGGCAGCAGCTGACGGGTATCCGATTCGATATCCAATCGTGGCGCCCGGCGACACCGCAGCACTCAAACTGTCCAACAAATATTATACATATAATTTACCAATATTACAATAAATTTTTTAATTGATTTTAAACTAACTTCACTTGAAATTTTATTCATAGCTCAGGATCGGATGACAATGCAAGAATTTTTGACGTGGTAGAACCATGCTGTAACTATATTGTGGTTGCAGCACGTATGGGTCGGCTCGATCCGAGTAGAACCACGCTCTTACAGAATACCAGCGTAAAATAGTAGCTCAATGCTGCTGTGTTTCGTATGGTGAGTGTAGAGAACCGGAGACCCTTCTAACTAGAAACGAGGCATTCCATCTTAATCCTCAAGGGTGGCGGTGCATCTGCATTTTGATTCTTGATTGAGGATAAATGTAGATGTGTATGGGCCACAGCATCCACTTACCATCAGGTGGACTGTGTGCTCGTTTGTCACCCTTATTCTATAAAAAAATATGAACATAAACCGTGGCATATTATTTTTTTACAACTATAATTATTTTAGATCGGGCTCCGGACCTACGGCTTTATGTGCTTTTCAAGGTATAAGTAGCGGCACGAAAGTCTAGCGGTGACCTTTATTGCGCGTAAGTCGCGCTGATTGGTTCGTGCGTATCGTTCGCACGCGCTGATTAGCTCTCCAGACACATTCGTGCAATTCAATTAGTGCGCGTCCCCGCCACGTTTCGTTCAGCGCTAAACTTGCGCGCCGCAACTTGTATGGAGGTGAAACTCCTACAACTTCCTAACTCTGGACTGCTACTGAAATTATCCGGCCAGAAAAAAACCAAAAGCTGATTTTTGGTCCAACGCATGATCTGAATCCAAGATCACATGGTCAGCAGTCGCGCTTGCGACCACTGGACCATCTAGTCAATCAAATATGCAGGCTGTGAAGCATTCCATTTAGGACTCCAGGTGACATCACATTAGTGCCATTCTTTGTTCTAAGTTAGTAGTTGGTTGTATAACTAAAAACAATAAAATAATTTTCATATATTTAATAACTTCTAAAGTCGATGTTGCCGTCCTATCTGAGTATGAAAGTGACGGAATAGTGATTGCATCTGTGCTTGCACACACACTCGTACAATATAATCCTGTCCCGCGCAAATAGCTCGTTTCCGTTTGGTCTGGGAATCGTTATTGAAATTCGGTCAGGAGGACATTATTTGAAAAACCAATTAATATATTAGTGGTTTCACTGCAACATGTTGGTAGACAAACTCAATTTTTTCTTCTAAAAAGTGTCTCTTCTCCCATGGGATATACCCCATGCTGGTCCACCTTCGCTGTTTATACAGGGCCAGGGCTTAGGCTATTACAGGGCCACGGGTACGCTTTTACACACACCGCGGCCCCACCAGCAATACACGACATAGACATTTGTCAATGATGCTTTATGCCGGGACCTACACTTCTACATAGTAACTACAAACTTGAAGTATTTGTAGCTACACTCGACGTCCGTGAAACATAGAAAAAGTCAGCTCTAAAAATTCTTCTTATTCTACTCTTTCTAAATTGGTGATCAGTCATCATCACCAAATATTTTTACTGTCCTCGGCATCATGGTTCCTGGATACTTTATACTTACCCCCATTTGCAGATCATCCCACATCTTGGCAATATCCAACCTTTTCTCATAGAGCTGAAGGCTTTGAATCATCGGAGTCCTTATCTCGGAAACTGCATCACTCTCCAAGCCAAACGCTACAATCGTCATAGAGATCTCGAAAACTAAAATCGCCACTAAGAGCATTACGTACTGAAACATGAAATAACAAGCTTAATACATTAAACATAAACATGAACATAAACTCTCACGACTGTTACCCACAGGGTTAGGCAGAGACTAACGGAGTAATAGAATTAATTCTAATTTGTCATCCTGCAAGGTAATGAAATGGACACAGTGAATTTTATTTACGTAATCAAAGGACGGGAAATTTTTTAATTAGTTTGTAATAATTATGTAATATTAATACTAAACATCGGAAGTATAGTTTGCTAAGAAATTCATTAATGTGTATGATAAATAAATAAATATTTAACAGAAGAATCGTGGGTTACAGTGATCATACAAACTACGTTAGAGCTCAATGAATCTAAATCTAATAACTAACACAGCCAGGACAGTGACATACGCCTGTGTTGTTGCTTCAACTCAAGAACTTTTGCTGGTTTTACTGAGCTCCTGGGTATCTCAGCAAATCAAAGAATATAAATATAATAACTACAGAAACGTGGTAGAGCCATGCTGCAGCTATATTAGTAGTATAGTTTTAGCACGAATGTGTCGGCTCAACCGGGGAAGGACCACGTTCTCACAGAATACCAGCGTCAAATAGCAGCTTGCTGCTGTGTTTCGTATGGTGAGTGTAGAGAACTGGAGACCCTTTTTACTCGAAAAGAGGCATTCTATCTTAGTCCTCATGGGTGACAACGCATCTGCATTTTGATTCGCAAACGAGAATAAATGTAGATGTCTATGGGCCACAGCAACCACTTACCATCAGGTGGACTGTATGCTCGTTTGTCACACTTCCTATAAAAAAAAAGAAAATTGGGCCAGGTGAGTTAGTTCAAAAGTTGTAACGGGTCCTTGTCTAAGAAATTATCAACGCTTATAAAACTTTCCTAGGTAATGTTTGGTAGATTTCTCTAAATGACATAAAACGTTTTCATTGTAATTAAATTACATATCAATAAAATTATTTTAGCCTTCCTGTATAGTCACACACACCAATTATAAATCGATTGCATCCGTCGAGTTACATCATTCCAGGCTCTCATTCGTCAATGTCATAGTTCTGTAAGGTCATCATATTAAACATTTAGTAGTAAAACACTTTTGAATTAGGATTTTGAGGATTTAATGGATTTACCCAGTCTGATAGTTTGACAAACAATTATCTGTAAGTATACTCGTCATTAACTTTCCACTATGTTTGAACATAGTGTTCCCAACAACCAACAGCATGGGTATGGCATGGATGTTACACTTAGACATGATCTTCGTTATGTGGATGTCATTTGTGAATATAATTTTATTAAAAGTATTTTGTGATCCATAAAGGACCGCATTATTGATGAATTAAAAATAGAATGTCTTTATTGTAAGGCGTGTCATAATTTTTTCCTGTTTATTTTAAATTATTAGGGTTATTTTTCAAAAAATAGTCAAATTTTAAACTTAAGTTCAAATATATAAATAATAATATACCGTTACATATTGCAGTTTTTGAAAATACGAGTAAATAAGGCTTCTACTTTTATTTGAAATTATCCCAAATTTAATGTAATTTATGAGCAACAACGTTTTTTGCCTACCGATCGACCCTTACGTATGAGTGCGTGTGTAGTAAAATCAGTTAAAATAATGCATTACCACGCATTTTTAATTTATAAGATAATAAGGACAGAATTATTGCGAAAAACTACAGGCAGTCTCTGAATGGGGCGGTGCCAATCTTATGAGATTCAACGCCTCCAAAACACAAGCGCTCAAAGGAGCCCGTTCACACTGACTCCTACTTTCCGGAATGTATGCTTGGAGTACACTGAGCGCCTTCAGTTGTTAGGGGTAGAATTTTCTCTGAACCTCAACTATGGGCGGTCCATTGAGTCCAAAGCCAAAGCAGCCGCAAGGAAACTTGGTGTCCATATAAAGCGCAAGTCCGGTCGTACATGGAGTACTGCTGTCACATGTGGGCTGGTGCTGCAAAATGCCACCTGGCAGCGTTGGACTCAATGGAGAGACGTGCTAAGACGCTCATTGGTTACCTTGATTTGGTTGAAACCAACCTTTTCAGCCTCGAGCATAACTGCATACTAGCCAGCCTCTCGGTTTTCTATAGGATGCGTTTCGGCGAGTGTGCGCACGAATTACACGCGTTAATTCCTCCTTCTCCTTTCCCCATCAGACGGCTAGATGGTCGGCGGGTCTTCATCCCTTTGTTGTCGATATTCCATGCATTAGAACCAAACGGTTTGCTTCGACTTTTGTAATGCGTACAGCAAAGTAGTGGAATAGTTTGCCGGCGTTTACCTTTCCGTCCGAATACAATCTGGGCGTCTTCAAGGCAAGAGTGAATAGGCTTTTGTTACTCTAAGGCTGCATGACCTCTTACCAGCAGGTGGGATTGTGGTCAAGCACTGGCTTATATTAAGCAAAAAAATACAATACGATTATATTACAATAATAAGGATATTTTTTTTAATTAATTTTTCTTCATCATTGGCCTAGATATCACTTATTCTGAACCTTCTCTGAAAATTTGGCCGATTATTGCAAAATAACCCTGTATATGATGAGAGGTATGTATGTATGTAAGCTGTTACTTTTTCTATTTTTTTTAAAAAAAGCGTAAATTTCATATGATAAAAATGATCTATAAAATTATAAAAATACAAACCGCTGCAATAACGTAGAAGTGTTCAGATATAGCTCCATAGAACCCAACAACAGCAGTGATCATAATAATCACACCCGTTGCAATGACAAAACCGGGCAATGTCAAGAATCGCTTCGTTATCAAGTCCGTATAATATGAATATTCCACAATGGCCACTATTCCAGTAATCAATAGAAGAATACCCGTTATCTAAAACAATAATTACTTATGAAAACATAGTTGCTATAACAAAGAGATTTTAAGAAATAAAACTTCTTTATAAATAAAAACATTTAAAATAGCTTATCCCAAAAATCACAAATCGTAGGTTAGGTTAATGTCGGGTTTTTTTTAACCATTTACAACATTTTGATATAATTTAATTCTCTTTAGATACATAGCTTTATGAAAAATAAATTATTGGCTCACCGAAAATATACCATTAACCCCAGCTAAAGTATATCTCACAGACTTAAAAATAGTAGGAACTTTCATTTTAATTTTTTTCTACGACTGTTCTACTATTTGCTACGTTAAACTCCGTACACTCTGCAGACGTTAAAGATAGTGATCGGCTATTGAGATGACTTTTATCTATCTAAAAATCATCGATATCTCGGTTATCACGACATGTTACTTTATAGACATTGAATAAATCATTGAACATTTATAAAAGAGTTTAGACAAGAGTGTTAGTGTTCTGTGGTTTAGAACTAGACAATGCAATAATAATAAGTACATATATATGTAATTATTAATACTATTTTTAAATGATTGATATTAATAAAATATTGATTTTTCAATGGTTTAAAACTGAAATAAACAATGTTAGTATTTTGGAGGTGTTTTCGCCACCGATCAATAGGTTTTGAAAAAATTAATGCTATTTTGACAATTTAGGCTACCTCGACCATCCTTGGTCATCTGCCGGTCACCGGATTTTTCTTTATTTATTTCTTTAGCTTAGCAGTGTCTTCTGTGTGTCGGTTAGCAGTGTGTTAGTACGGTGCAGATGAGATTGGTGCGATAAGTTGTAATAATTAAATTGTGAATTAATTCGTCTTAAAATATCATAGAAGTAATATTTCGAACAATTAAATTGCGTAGTGTGTAATGCATACTTAATTAAAATTAAAAAACTTAAAATAAGTACATTCATTTCGGACATCAAGTGTTATAAAAAATTTGCTCAAATATTCAAAAAGTATTAAATAATAAAAATACAATGCAATTACATATATAACAATAATAAATATTAATTATAACATTTATAAGTCTTATTGAGAAACAGGTCATAAATTGTAGAGAGGGTTGTACGTCATGTAATGCATGAATCTTATTTTGTTAACATCCCAAAAACGATTGCTTATATTTTAAAAATAATATTTTTCGATTTAACTAGAACCTACGCACGATCTATGATCAGAAAAGAAAGGTTGCTGTGTTTTTTTTTAAATAGAATAAAGGTGACAAACGAACAGTACACCTGATGGTTAGTGGATTTTGTGGCCCATAGACATCTACATCTATCCTCGGTAAATTAAAATGCAGACGCGTTGTGTCGCCCCTGAGGACTAAAATGGAATGCCTCTTTTCTAGTAAAAAGGGTCTCAGATTCTCTACACTCTCCATACGAAGCACAGCAGTATTAAACTGCTATTTTACGCTGTTTCTGTAAGAACGTGGTCCTCGGTCGAGCCGGCCCCATTCGTGCTACAAACTCGATATAACTGTAGTAACTCTACCACGTAAAAAAAATGTTGTTGTGCAGCACAAAAACATCTTATATATTGTGTTTCGCTGAATTTTTAAAAAAATAGGAAAAGAAAACCTAATACAATATTGTGGTAAGTATACGTGTCCCGAAACTCAATGTCAAGCGGGCACGAGGCGAAAGGGGGACTCATACCAGCCCCGGGAAAAATAAAAAATCCATATCAGTTAGTTCAGTTATAACTGACAGATTTAGGAAAAGGAGGAAAATCGACACCTGAAATCATATCATTAGGTATTCCCAAGCAGCATGCAAGCTGAATACGAGATGTATTGAAGTTCGTTTTTATACTAAAGGCTGTATTTTCTGGCTGTATAAAAACTGTATAAGTGCTTATACAGTTGTTATACGTAAAACAATGGCACAAATTATGCAGCTTTATGCGTTAGTAGCACTATACAGTAGCTGTACAAGCATAAAAGAGGTTGTATAACTGCTTTATTACAGCTGTTATTTGGTGTGCATATTACACTATAGATAATGATTTCTTATATTTACGCGAACACTACACATGAATAAAACTACTTTTACGGATTTAATCGTGTTTAATTAACTTATTTTTCTTATTTTCATTAATTCCCGACGTTTCCCCCGTGACCATGGGTGCTGGAAAGCACCCGAAACTTTTTTACCGGGGCTGATATGACACCCCCTTTCGCCCTGTGCCCACTTGACGTTGAGTTTCGGGACACAATGTATCTACATTTTGAATTTATTGACTGTTATTTGCAGGGATTATTACATATTTAGATTATACTTACTCTCAAATTTTATCTGATTTAGATTTTTTTTAATAGGATCGGGTGACAAACGAGCACTCAGTCCACCTGATGGTAAGTGGTTACTGTGACCCATAGACATCTACATCTATCCTCAATAAAGACTCAAGATGCAGATGCGTTGTCACCCGTGAGGACTAAGATGGAATGCCTCTTTGCCAGTAAAAAGGGTCTCCGGTTCTCTACACTCACCATACGAAACACAGCAGCGTCAAGCTGCTATTTTACGCTGGTTTTCTGTGAAAGCGTGGTCCTTCCCCGGTCGAGCCGACCCATTCGTGCTACAACCATAATATAGCTGCAGCATGGCTCTACCACGTAGAAGATCACGTATTTGGGCTAAATATAGTTTTCACGATTATTATTTTGCTTATGTAAATTAATTTTAATGCTTTGTGACAATAACTCTCTGACTATAACTTAAATGAATAACATGCATATACATATGTGCAAAAACGATAATGCACAGTTTGTAAAAATAATGGGTGTAAAAGAAGCGAGAGAGGTATTTCAGGATTGGACCAAATGGAAACCGTAGTCTCTGCGTACCCCTCTGGGTAACAGGCGTGCAATTTTATGTATGTATGTACGTATTTGTGAATAAATCTGCCGTTCAGAAAATAAAATTAAGTACATAACATTGCCTCTTTACAGATTAGGGGTTGGCTATAGATGTTCATTTTAATAATGTTTTCAGCTTAGGAGGCTTGTCAGGGTTAAACTTGAACCTTTTACACTGTTTTTAGATGTCGGAAATGCGTTTTGAATTAAATACGATAAAAATAAATTTAACTAAAAATTGCGTATAACGAAACGCAAATATGTCAATTTGGTCTAGCATTATGAAATAAACGTCCGGTACTTGATTTTATTTATGCCTTCAGTTTAGGAGGTTTGTCAGGGTTAAGTTTGAACCTTTTAACAGTTACTGTGCATAAAATTTTGGCTCAAACATAGGAGTGCATAAAAACGAAGTACCTTTTTACAACCAGCTACTCCTAGTTCTGAAACTATTGACCCCAAATCTTTGTAATATTTAAATTTATGGTCCTATTATGGTTTATTACCTGCACATTATATCACAGAATAGCTGCTTAGATCACGTTATTTTAAATAGTAAATTGCAATCCCAAACTTTAGTTTTACAATCTTCAATCACCGATCACCCAGCCGTACTACTATGCCTAAACGTGAAACAAAACAAAGATTTGGCTCTTGTAACTTTTAATAAAATAAATAGTGGGGCTCTGGAATCTGACTTAAAGCAGATTAATTGGAATACCTTACACGCTTCATGAGATCTAAATAAGTCCTTGGAATTTTTCATAACATCAATTCAAAGGGCTATAGAGTCAAATACTTTAACGACTAAATTATCAAAACGAAACAGCATCATCAACCCCTGGATAACTCCAGGACTTATTTGTTGTATAAGACATAGAAATAGTTTGCATAAAAAATCAAGACTGTCACCAAACAATGAAATAATTAAGCTAAGCTACACGAGATATAGAAATTACTGTAACAATTTATTAAAAAAAGTTAAGAGAGCATATGAAAAAAATCTATTAATAAATACTTAGAAAAACAACAAAGAGCTACGGGACGCAATAAAAATAAAGCAACTGAATTGATAGATCCTACACACGAGCAAAGACCAGTCGATAATATAAACGAGTTTTTTGTAATAATCGGGAAAGCTTTAGCAGAGAAAACACTTAAGTGCAAAAACCTCTCACACAGTGAGTATAACAATGGATATTCTATAAATTCCATAAAATCCCTATTATTGTTAACTACTGATGAAGTTGAAGTAGAGCAACTCATTATAGCTTTAAAAGATGTTAGTTCTGTGGGCTGGGACTGTATGCCGAATAAGGTCCTTAAAGATTTCAAACACACCCTCGTCCTTTGACACATATATTTATCAACTGTTTATCCTAAGGTATATTTGCCGCTTTTCTAAAAAAAAATATATGGTTTAACCAATTTACAAAGCAGGTAAACGAGACTGTGTCAACAACTATAGGCCTCTCTCTATCCATCATATATAGACAAGATGGCTGGGTGCTACCATCTGCTTGGGATCCTATAATTAATGAAATTAAATCCCAACCCAAGTGTACAACTGCAAGACTTCAAGATACTATAAGTTCATTTTTTTTATAAGATATGGAGACATATGAGCACACAGTCCACCTGATGGTAAGTGGTTGCTGTGGCCCATAGACATCTACATTTAGCGTCGTTTGCGAATCAAAATGCAGATGCGTTGTCACCCGTGAGGACTAAGATGGAATTCCTCTTTTCCAGTAAAAAGGGTCTCCGGTTCTCTACACTCACCATACGAAACACAGCAGTGTTAAACTGCTATTTTACGCTGGTAATCTGTGAGAGCGTGGTCCTTACCCGGTCGAGCCGACCCATTCGTGCTACAACTATACTACTAATATAGCTGCAGCATGGCTCTACCACGTTGATACTGCGTAGATCGGAACAAAAATTAATTATTTTAATCTAGAAGTAATCGTGGTTAACTATGACATTGGGACGTCAAACACCTCAGTCCCCCCGTGACCATGGGTGCTGTAAAGTACTCGAAACTTCGGGAATATAAAATAAGATAATACACGCGATAAAATCTGTAAAATCTAGTTTTATTTAAAGTAGTGTTCGCGATAATTTAAGAAAAAGTACCGTTATCGCTATATACAAATTTACATGGACCTCTCCGAGAGATAGATTTCTTAAAGACGTCAAAAAATACTTGCCGAACTTAGATCCGACGCTAGTTCTAAATGCACTGCCTTATTAGCAAGGCATACGAATAAACATAATTAAGCTTTCTGACTGCTTATACCACGTTTACGCGTCAATGTAATATACAGTGGACCCGATATGGCCATCCTCCGCTGGGCACTGTAGATTTTAGTTCCACAGCGTCGGATGGCCAGCCTTTTGCCATTAGGCGCTTGAAATGTTCTTCGAAGCCCCACCGACTGTCCAGGTAAAGGCATTTCATGTACCTCCCGTCTCTGACTTCAGACCCACTTACGCGGACGCAGGAGTCGGGTGGTTCCCAGCCCCGTAATTTATGGAACCATAGGGCCGCGGTCTTGTTAGGCGCTATTTCTAGTCCCAACTCGTGGATTTTGGCGACGACGACTTCCGCCCCAAGCTCGGCGAGCTCCTTGGCCCTCTCGAAAGTTATCCCGCTAGTAATCACCAATGTGTTGTCGGCATAGCACACGATATTTACACCAGCGGAAATGTCGACTCGCGGAAGTGCATGGTACGCGAGGTTCCACAGTAGTGGACCCAACACCGAGCCCTGTGGAACCCCACATTTGATCTCCCTCCGGATTCGGGGGGGTGGCTTTTTCTACATAGGGATTTCCCCATGCGGAATGTCTACGCATAGGCATTTCCGCCTCGCGGTGGCAAGAACGGGTTATGTCTGTCTCGCATCGACTAAAACTCTTTGGTGTTCCACCTTCGCCGCATATTGGTAGGGCCACGGGAACGCACACATCCGCGGCCTCACTAGCGCTGGCTCCCCCATGGCAGCCCCGCCTCGGGGGAGGACTTCTCCTCCCCATTCTCCTTCTCAGGCAAGGCGCATTAGGAATACAAAGTACGCTTTCCTCCACGGCCTCCAACTCCACCTGCGTAAATCCGATACGCGGAAGCCATCGGGTCAGGAAAATCGAGCGCTCGGTAGCACCCGCTTTCCCGACTCCAGCGGTGAATTTGATTTTTGGCTCCGCCACCAAAAAAGGGCCTTCGGCCGCGAAGGGGAGCGGCACCTCGCAACACCGACACTCCTCTCCCCCTGCGGCCTCGCTGCCACTGCATCAACGGTGCGGACCCGTCAGAGTACGGAGGATATGGCGAGTGGCGCATCGCCATACCAACACTCCACATTCCCCGCGACTCCACTTCGGCTGCAGCGGTTGGGGGAGAAGGTACCTGTCTCGCCGCAGCCCACTCGGAGTGGCCACCTCGGGGCGGCGCTACACAACGGGCCAGCCAAGGGATTCCTCTTTGTTCACCGCGGGTGACCAAGCCACGGCTACTGAGCACCACGACAAGGCGGGAACCCGTTTGGAGGGGTTGGGGGGAGCCTAACCTAACCTTTTTTTACGGGGGGAAATCCTCATGGACTACCTCCACCTGGGGAAAGGTGGAGGGGCGTGCCGGATTCTTATCGTCTAAAACCACCCCGGTGGCTCCTCGCACGTGCGCGCCGGGCCGCGGGAATCCAAATTCTTCCGCAGCCCCACACTAGTGCTGGCCCGGTCTGTCCGGGCTTCGTCACCTGCACTCCTAAAAAGGGTTATTCACCCTTCTACTCCTCCCTATCTAAAGGAGAAGTTTAATTTTGAGGGGCTTCCGGGGGAACCTTTACGCTCTTCTAGAAAATTCATTTTCAGTGTGCCAACTCACAATACATTATTTTTCAATAAATCTTTTACTGTCCAGTCTATTAAGCTCTGGAATGCCCTACCTCTGCATATACGTGAGGCATAAACTATTATTATCTTTAAGCGGTTACTTAAAGAGCATTACTTGTCTCAGTCGTTCGGACACCGTTAGAATAGATTGTGTGATTATGTATTTATTGTATCTATCAGCCTTATTATTATATTGTTTGACCAATCATCGAAGAAGCACCGTCAGTCGCAACTCCCGGTAATTTTGATAAGTCCAAATCAGTTTTAGAACACTCATCCAAAAATACATTGAGTATATCAACTCCTCTGGTTTGACCTTTCAATGAACACATTCCTAATAACTCTTCTAAGACTTCAAAATCTTGAGTAACACCTCGAATGAATATCAGAAGTTGAGCTGTGGAACTAATATCAGTGGATTCGTCGAGTGCTAATGAAAAAAATTCAATGATCTTAGTTTTTTCATTTAATTGTTCCGCAATATTACCTGAGAAACACATAATTCGTCTTTGGATAGTCATACGATTCAGTTGAGTTTTCTCAAACTTTTTTGCTGCTTCTGGACACATTTTCTTAGCGGTAATTTCTATGCATTCTTTTACAAAATCCCCATCATTGAAGGGGCGACTTCGCTTTGCTATCATTCGAGAAATTTCATAACTAACTTCTGTAGCTGTTTCTGAATATTGAATGGGTTTTGTAAACATAGCTTGCTGACCAATAAGTTCCCGTTTTAAAGACAACATTGTAAACTTGGTAAAAGTAGGATGCTGCGTTTCATAGTGCCTTTTTACATTATATTCCTTTGCAATCGCAACAGAATTCTTGCAAATTAAACAAACGACTTTGTTATGCGACCATACAAAAAAGTATTTCTCAGTCCAAATTTCTTGAAACTGCCGATTTCATCTTTAACCTTACGTTATATACTGGGTCCTGGCTTGTCCATGTAGCGTTCTAATCCTGGCTAGGATTAACACAGCACCTAAAAACAATTACAGTATCTACTTAAATTACCCATCCTTTTTTAAATTACCAAAAATAATTGATTAAATAGGTAGGGAAACACTTATTAATAACAGAGTTTTACTTACGATTTCACAACACAATTATACACGACACTTGACGGGAAATCTACGTTGAATGTGGATCAAAATATATGACACCGGCTAGTCGAGTTAAAATCTACACTAGAACTATTGACACTTCACTCAAATTAAAACCAAACTGTCGGTCACTGCGGTTAGCATGGCTTTTATACCGCGCGTATAGAGTCGAAAACTGTCTGGAGAAATCACGAAACCGACTCTGAAAGCTTCGTGTATCTACCTACACGAGAAATCGGGAATTCGGGACTATTGCTATCTCGCTTGCTCTAACAATATAACCCGTGGATAAGCCGCCACCGCGCTGCCGTCGTCGCCGCGCCGCCGGCCGCGGCGGTTCCTCAACAAAACGAATTTAACCGAGATCAGCACGAAAATTACCGACCACTGTTACCGACGCATGCACGGCGCACCGATAAGCGCACTTAAGAGCGCGCGCGCGAGATTCAAACTACTTTTCGAACATATTTTTAGTATGGACTATGTATTTTTATTTCTATCTGTATCTATAAATGTGAAATCAAATCTGTGCAGGGTTTTCACAACTTAGGGGCTTCCCCCTAAATTTAGGGGGTAAATAAGTGGGATGGGATTTTTAGGGGCTTTATATTTTTAGGGGTATTTTAGGAACTTTATTTTATTCCACTGTAGTTGTTTTTTTTAGAAGTTTACGATGATTGCGGCGAAGCTGGCTGTAAACCTTTTGAAAATTCTTGTTTTCTATTGAAATGCTACCAAGTGTGATGATGATCTGATATATATTGCAACGAAGTAGCACATCATTTATAACATTTAATCAATTAATTAAAATTTATGTTTATTTAACATCCAAATGTATGATTTTAATATGTTGGAATCATCAGAAGAAAACGAAATAATATTGGAAATATTAAATAATTTATATATGAAGAACATTACAAAGCAATGTACTTATTTTAGGAGATTTCCTGGTAAATAAGGTGATTTTAGGGGTTTCTGACTTAACCTTTAGGGGTAAATATTTTTTAGAGTTGGTAGCACTAAATTTTTTTTTTATTTGTTGTGCTGCTATAGATGTGCCAACTCGGAAAAATTACGCTCGAGATGAAATTCACGCAACTCGAGTTTAAACTCGAGTTAACAGTACGAAACAGAGTACATGATTTGTTACAAATTACTTTTTTATAAATTTGTTTTTATATCTAGCTCTTTGGTGGGTTTTAATAACTATAATTACCAAACTTATTATGTAGGATTGAGATAAAAAGGTATATTTAGTTTGTATCATATACTTATGTAAGTATTTTTGGTTTTAATCTTAGTTATAGTAAGTACCTGTATTTAACAACAAAAGCAGCTATATCTTCACGAAACAATATTAGTCTAGCTTTAAGATGTGGATACATAAGCTATTAATAGTTGAATTATCACAGTTAAAAATATACTTAAATAAATTCAAATTCAAAATATTTATTGTAATTTAAGTGTTACCTGGTAAGACATGCAGGAAGTCGATGGATGCAGGTGGCTCAGGACTGTGCTTTGTGGCATTCCTTGGGGGAGGCCTATGTTCAGTAGTGGACTTATGAAAGGCTGTAATGATGATGATGATGATGTGATGTGTGTGAATGAAGTGTTACATTTGGTGTTAATTTAAAATATCATATATCTTACAACTTAACCACCCTTTTCGGGTATTACAATAATAGGTCTGTCACTTACATAACTATATTGATCATAATTAATCAAAATTGTAGAAGAAATTAAATTACATAATTTAGCTATTATAAAATTCTAAATAACAAACTGTTTTTGTTGTAGCTAAATAATCTTTGAAACAAAGCGCGCACACAACGAATGAATCTCGCTCTTACTCTTTTGCTGGCTCACTTAATCCGTTCATTCATGTAGCGCAACTCGAGTTACTCGAGTTGACCATCACCAGTGTTGCTAAAGTTCCCGATTTATCGGGAGATCTACTGATTTTAATTAGTATCTCCCGATATCCCGATTTAGCGATTATGTCTCCCGATTTTTTAACATTTTCAACTAATGTAAAATAATATTCATAAATAAAATTGAACAGTAATATTCTAAATACGACAACACTAAAACGAACCTTTAACACACAAACTGACAATACTAAAACTAAAATGAACCTTTAACACAAATGTCCTATAGGACCTATATCTATGCCCTTATTAGGTTTTTAACATCGCGGTATGCTTAAAGCATATTGCACTGAAACATCTTAAAATAGAGTTCATTATTGTCTGGTAAATGTAGGGGGGAGATCCCAAAAGATTACTTTGTTCGGGTTGATTTACGAATTAGGTAGCTTAAGCCATGTTTATATAATGTTGTGCGTTCATAGAATGGTATTCACTAATTACTTGCCTTTTTCTGTTGTGTTGTGAACTGTTGTGCTTTATGTCCAAATTTGTTAGAGAGCAATAGTCAAAAAATTAATTTAGACTGGCATTTGTTTCTAAATACGAAAGAAATTAAATTATTCAGTGAAAAAACAGAAGAATTTTGGACAAGCATGAGTAGAAAAAAATATATAATCATTAAATTTTAGTTTAAATTATAAAGACATTATTTTGATCGCAAAAAAAATTTCAAACGAGAAAGAACGACACTTAAAAGAACCTGTTTTATGATACATTTCTAAACACATGGATGTAAATAAAAATCTCCCGATTTCTCCCGATTTCTCCCGATTTTTGGCTAGCAAATCTACCGATTTTTTATTTTTCACTTTCGCTACACTGACCATCACTGTTCACTATGTGTTGCTTCGGATGTGACATTAAGTGAAAAAAATCGATTTCTACAAAATAGAATTTTTGCTTTATGATACTAGTCGATTTAGGAAAAATCGATTTTTATTAAAAATAATCTATTTTTGCGAAAAAATTATTTTATTCCAAAAAATGTCTGCTTTCCTATATATCAATAAAACTACGAGAGTATAGTATCACGAATTTATCAGATTAAAAATCAAATAAAATCATAAGTATAAAACATAATCAGAACGACAATCTTCTGGTTTTAAAACTAAACTACAAAACAATTTTTTTAACCTATAACTTTAAACAATGAAAACTAAAAATAATTACTGCCACATATGTTTAGTGCCATTTAACAATTTATTAGAACAAAAATAAAAAGGAACGATACATTAAACAGATTTTTACGGATTTTATAGCGTTTAATTTAACTTTTTAATTCCCGACGTTTCGGGTGATTTACAGCACGCATGTTCACAGGGGTACTGAGGTGTTTGACGTCCCTATGTCATAGTTGGACCACAAATCCTCGCAAAAGAACACCGATTCCTACCAAGGATGATTCGCGAGGCTTTTGAAATTAAAAAACATTCTAATTTCAATAGAGAAGATGGATGGGTGCTGCCATCTGCTTGGGATCCTATAATTAATAAAATTAAATCCAAACCCAAGTATACCACTGTAAGACTTCAATATGCTGTAAGCTCATTCTGCGTAGATTGGACCAAAAATTGATATTCAAAAACTGAAGGTAGCCAGGCTAACTATTCTTAATGATTTCTTATATTTACGCCTTATAGTTTTTTTAAACTGAGTTTGAACAAACAAAAAGTCTAAATATAATTATTGCCACAAATGTTCAGTACCAGTTACATAGGATTATAATGAAAATAAAATAAAACTATAAGTTTAAATAGTCAATCGACAACATTTTGGTCTCAAATCTAAAATAAATCTTTTTTTAAACTTTAATTTTAAACGAAAAAACTATAAATAATTACTGCCACTAATGTTCACTATCATTAACATTGGAGTAGAATGAAAATAAAATAAAAATATAATTATAAATAATCAAACGACAACCTTTCGGTCTCAAAACTAAAATACAAGACAAATCTTTTTTAAACTAGTGTAAACAAAAAAAAAAGTAAAAAACATTATTGCCATGAATTTTCAGTTAAAGAGTTTAAAAAGAATCATTTTACCAAAATTCTTCTTCGTCTCTTTCCCAAAATACGGTTTCGTTTTTTCCTGACAATATTTCTCACTTTCAAAAGTAATCTTTCGGCTGGCTCGGAACTGGCCATCACAGTGAGGTGTTCAAGAGCGAATTAGGTTAGTTTAGGGAAGTTCCTTCATAGCTTCTCCATATATTGAGGGCATCTGCTTTTAGATTTGATAGTGGTGCTGCTATATATAGGTCCAGTTCAGTATTTTTGCCTATTGACGTGTTGACCGTTATCATTTTTCATTATTAAATACTTCCGTCAGTCACTTTTAGGCGTTTTACAAGACATTTTTATTGTTTATATAAGAGTATTATATTAGTATTATAGTATATTCTGTAGAGACTATCGGTCCGTGGGGACCACGTGCGGTGAAGTTCTTAAAGGAACTCCATCCGCGGCTGGTCGTTGCTGCTGGTGATAAGAGGGCTGGTTCTTTTCTCGCTCAAAGGCTAAGTATAGCCATTCAGCGGGGAAACGCGGCCAGCGTTCTTGGCACGATACCGCGGGGAGTAGGACTATATGATAATTAAGTTTCTAGTTTTAGTTTTTTTTTTATTATAAATAATTGTTTACACTAACCAAAGAAAGAAAGAAAAACAGAGAATGCTTTTACTCCTAGCGGAGAAAGAAAACTGTTGAAAACATACGAAAGGCGAAACTGTTTTACATACATAGAGATATATTTATTTCTTTATTTATATATTTAACAAAATAAGTATAAAAACACAGGTAACTGCTGGTCCTAAACTAAACGCAGCTTGTATCTCAGGACCCTGGCATGCGATATTACAAAATGGTTTGTCACTGGACAACATTTACTTAAAGATATACTTTACGGAAGTTTTAACATAACATGATTGACATCGGAGGTTAAAAGTAATGTTTCTAATACAAATAATATGGTGTTATTATTTCACTACACAAATAAAAATTAAAAATTAATTATAGTATGATTATATAAATGTGGCGCCGTCTTTTGATCAACTTATTCATGTTATTGAACTTACTTCACGTTTTTACATCCATCGCACAGATGACTCTCATTACAAAAATTGATTAAAACGTGTAATTTACTCAATCGATTTATTAAAAATTGATTTTTATTATCAAAAAATCGACTTTGAAAAAGCGATTATAAGAATAATAATCGATTAATATGAAAATCGAATATTTCCTTACATCCCTATGTGTTGCTCAGTTGACAACACTATGTGTTGCTGTTGTTTTGCAGTTGCATTTGCTGAATCTTAGACGGTCTGACGGTAAGTTATTGATTTTAATTACTTAATACTAATCCTAATTTTGACTTCGTTTATATTTTTTAATTATTGTTATTGTTATTAATTCGTTAATATACGTTAAAATTAAAACCTCGCACTTTTGCGTTTGTGTTGTGATAACATCGGAAATCGATGTTTTACCTTGTCTACGGAATGTGCTTGGAAATTTAAGAATTCTCGTCTTGTTCCAGATTCAGTTTAAAAATTAGCTCAGAAGAAACTATATATTACCTACTAAAATGGCTATTGGTGCGGGAATGTCGTGTGTTAAATACCTTCTATTTTGCTTCAATCTTTTGTTTGCGGTAAGCAATGCGTATTTCTATAGAAGGGTGTAAAACTAGGAAAATGTACAAAATTGTGTCGTGTTTTTCCTTAAAATCTTTATTTTGCACGTAATTCGTTTATAAATATTCATTTTGACCAGAACTTTTATCATTCTAAGTATTTACGCATTTACAAAACAAGTCTTACAAATGAGTCATTAATTGCACAACATAGTTGTTAAAAGCAATTTAAGTTGCTAATTTAAAGTTTTTCTTAATGGGGAATGGAAAGATTGTAAGAAAACCTGCATGAGTGAGGAATTTTTTGGTGATAGTACTTAACATCAGGTGAGCCGCATGATCGTTTGACCCCTCCAATAAAAATAATTGGGAGGACATGAACATGAGTAATTTTGAATTATGTGAAGTCCACCAATATGCATTATAGCAGTGCGACATACTTTTCCACACCCCAAAAACATTCAGAGATGTGAAGAATGCACCATGCAGTGAGACTTTGGTCAGAATTATTATTATTTTTCGCCTATTAAAAACAAGATGCTGTACTCTATATAATATATACTTTTTGGTTTGAACTTTGAAAATTTTTGGACACTTAAATCAAGGTCTATCTACATACATTGTTGTAGTGTGTACTATCAGAGACCCAGAAATAATATTGGTTATGCTATATAAACTTGGTCATACAATTTTGAATTGTCACTATTCAAGTTATCCATAGTAAGTTAATGCTCCTGATACTGTACTGGTGTTCAGATAAAGTTTAAATTGATTCTTAGGACACCATATGGATATGTTTATGGCTTCATGCATATAATAGAAGTCTGGCATTGTTTGTATTGATAAATACCTAAAATGAGGATCTTTGAATAGTTATGATGTCAATGCCAGTTGACTTTCTTTATTGATGTCTTTAATCATTTTATAATAAATTTTATAGCATTCTTAATACTTTTTTCTTTTTAGATAACCGGATTTATTATTTTGATAGTTGGAATCTGGGTTGAAGCTAGCTCCCATCCCTACATTGATCTGACTGATGAGAACTTCTATACATCTGGTCCAATTGTTCTGATTATTGTTGGAATAATTGTGTTCATAGTCGCATTCTTCGGCTGCTGCGGAGCTGTGAAGGAGAATCATTGCATGATAGTAACGGTAAGTTATTGCATTTTGTTAATGGTATATTGTGTAATTATCTTTCTTTTGCAACAAAGTAATTGTTTATTTTGTTTGATTACATTTAGTTATCATTTGAATTTGAAAAAATCAAATCAATGTACAGTTTCTATCCCGTTTCTTCTAAATTCAGAATTAATTTATGTACAAACAAAACTATTTACTAAATACCAAACCACAAAAAAATTAACAATTTACCACAAGAATTTTTTTATTATTTTCTTAATCACAACACACACTGACACTACACCCATACCAAAAGGCACAAGCACTGATGGGGTGTGTAGCGCCTGTAGGTGGGCACATAGGTGTACACACTGTACACCCATGTACCTGGGCGGTTCTCACCACCCAGAACATCGACCGACATGAGTTAAACAGTCAGAGATGGGAGTATGCTTACGTCCACTCAAACAGCAGTTAGATAGCTCAATAAACCTCAACAGAGGGGACATGATGTTTGGTAACAATACTAAATCATAAACCATTGTCATCCTCATCCTCATTGCCGCCTTTCCTTTTTGTTTTAAATAGCTTGTGGCCTGAAAGCCCTGTATCAAGATGAAACTGTAAGAGCCGCATAGGCTAACAGCGCCAACATCTCAAAAATAGATGATGATAAATGTAACATTAACAACAAATAGCTTCTACTTCTTATCATATTTTTGCAATGCAATATTGGATAAGGAGAAACATAATATAGGTTTATTGTTTATGGTACTCTAGTATCAATCTTTATTTTAATTACTTTATAATTTAATTTGTAATGTCACACATTGAAGTGAATTTTTCAGCCATCAATAACTGTAAAAGATGACCTTGAATGTATATTTTATTGGATCTAGCACTAAGTTCAATGACCCCAATTGTGTCTCGCAATTGATAGTTCTTAAGATAAAATGGACCAAGCAAAGGTCATATGTAGTTTCTATGTCACCTGCACTGGTAGTTATAGGTACACTAGTACTAGTAAGGAATAGTCCTGCATTGCTGGTTATATGAGGGAACATATTCAGATTTTTTTTGTATGGTAGAATCTATAATGATGATATCTGCAGCAGAACTAGTGTAATCGACATAGCCCAAAGGATCAGTTAACTGAAGAGGCAATGGGCTGGCTAAAAAATGTTCAAGAGTGGTAACCTCGTACCAGCCAGCTCTTGTGTATGCAGGAAGTCGATGGATGGAATTGGCTAAGGACTGTGCTTTATTATATTTCTTGGAAGAGGCCTATGTTCAGCAGTGAACATGTGAAAGGACGTGATGATCGTGACGGTGATAATATCAGTTACAAACCTCATATAAACTGGACAAGTAAACCTTAAAATATCTGAAAATCGCAAAAAAATGCTAGAGTTAGGGACCAGACTCTTCACATTTAATTTCATAGTTTGCCGCCAACCCATAGTGGATTATAGCAGCTGCCATCACTTTGCTTTGTTCAGTGCTGAGTTACTATGTACTGATGATATGTGAAACATTGTGACATTGTGATAATGCATCTTTAATAAATAAAAAACAAAATATTTCATTGATATGAGAACAATACGTATGGGTGACCACATACTTGTGGTGAGAATACTCACTTACTGAGTACAATAATAAATAAAAGATATTCCAGGATATAAAATACGTCGGCAAAATTAAAATTTAATTTATCAAACATCAATTTTCTTTTCCATCTACTAAAAAACGAACATGTTTATTCATTGCTGCTGCAATTACTTTTACGAAAAAAACCATAATGACAAAATAATTTAAAATATAAATTTTACTCTGCATTGCGTCAACAAAAAAGCTAACCTATCAACCAACTCAGCATAATTACAGTAACAGAATTGCCGTAGCGCTGATATTTGTCGGAGCTGCATGAGTCGACTTACAAACAACCACTGGACATAATTTATTACCTATTTTATCTCAGTCACTAAGTATAAGCAAAGTTCACGAGAATAAACGTTAAAACGGGAAACTGCGAAAAAAAAACTATTTCATAACATAAATAGAGAATTCAGAAGTTGATCTGGTCGAAATCGGTCAAGAGATCATAATTATGTCTAAATTTTAATTAAATATGCTGATATTTACGTAATTCAAATCACCGAGGTAAAAATCTAATAAACGTTTTTAATATCTTTTAAATGACACAAGTGACACATTTTTATCGAAATTTAAACGTGGTAGAGCCGTGCTGCAGATATATTAATTGTATAGTTGTTGTAGACCCGAATGGGTCGGATCGACCGGGGATGGACCACGCTCTCTCAGAATACCAGCGTAAAATAGCAGTTTAATGCTGTTGTGTTTCGTATGGTGTATAGAGAACCGGAGACCCTTTTTACTGGAAAAGAGGCATTCCATCTTAGACAACATCTGCATTTCGATTCGCAAACAAGAATAGATGTAGATGTCTACGGACCACAGCAACCACTTACCATCAGGTGGACTATGTGCTTTCTTGTCACATTTATCCTATAAAAAAGGGGCCATGTAAATAATAAATATGTAAATTGTTTGTTGATTGAAGTATATGTTTATATTTTTTATAAAAACACTACAATTATTATAATTATTAGCTGGATGAATGCGAGAAGGACGTAAGTATGTTAATATATTATGGTGTAATATTTTACAATATGGTACATAAAATACATGACTGAATAGAATGGCTAATCGGCTGCAACCAATTGTCCGGAGACGGGCCCCGTGGCCTTTGACACACGTCGTCTTTCCTCACTAATCGGACACTTCCTTTGCACAATATGTCGTTAATAAGACATTCTTTTGTCAATTCTCTGAAGTAGTTTACGTGAGGAAGTGAAAACTGGACCATAATTGCTTCCTGTCTTGTTTCACTGTTCTGTTACTTCAATTATTGTCAGCGTATATCGCCAGGGTATTCTTCGTTTTGGGTTGGAATTCCGTATATTTATTGAGTTTGAGTTACATTCCATAGGAAAAAAGGTAATAAAGCAATAAGCTGGTTAAAAATTCTACATCTTCGAGAAAATTCATTTCGAGGACATTTGAAGTTATCACGCAGTAGATTAATACATTTTACAAAATACAGATTTTGAAATAGTACCTATGATGGATAGTTTTTACGCCGCGTATATAATGTGTAAGACCGAATAAATGTATCTTCAATATTCGGTTTCGAAATACTCAAGATTTTTTATAAATAATTTTATTAGGTGATAGAAGGAAGCCTCACCATCTAACGAAATTTGTCTAAGACTCCATTTAAACAGGTACACTACACTCGTACTGTTTTTTGTGTTGTTTCGGTTTGACAGGTGTTGAGAATCACTTCATTTGTAAGCTCGCAGCTCACAACATAATAATATATTATAATGTCTAAAGCTTGAGAGTTTGACGCATCAGTAGCATTCTTTGTTTGGAGTTGACTACAGGTGTCCAGACGGCTTGTTTGTCTTTCTTAATATTATAAATAATATGTTATGTGTCATATCATAACCATGATAACCACAGTAAAAAAAAAAATGCATTTTTATTGGATTACGATAACTGCGTGTTCTCTTGTATTCTGTCTAGCTTACATATTAAATATGTATCGCACTCATACCATTATAAAACAAGTTATACGGGGCAAGACACAATTGATGACTGTAAATGTATCACAATCGAGAATTGATAAACTGGCAATAGGTATGTAAAATTTAAAAATAATAACATACTTACGTCCTTTTCGCACCCATTCGGGCTAATGACACGCGAAACGTGAAAGAAAAAATACTCTATGCGCGCCAACATCGTGTTATTGCGAAACACTTGCATTTTGTTATCGTTCATATTGTGAATCAGTCTGCAAAAATAAATATCCAGACCGCGTCACGTGTCTGAATTATGTAGGTTCGCTTGGTGTTGGCTATGTAACTAACCTTTACGTTTAGTCAGTCACGAAAATATTTATAAGTTTAATATGTTGTATGTAATTATACAGTATTAGGCTATCCGCCCTGGCTTCGCACGGTTTCTAGATTTCGACAACACCGCCACCTACCGGGGCCAATTATTGTAAATCTAAACTATCCAGGGACCCACTCAAACACACAAAAAAATTGATAAAAATCGGTCGAGCTATTTTAAGTTTTAGCAAGACTAACGGACAGCAATTGATTTTCATATAATACTCGTATTATGCCTACCTAGAGATTTTTTACTTTGAAGGAACTTGTCACTTACAGTGGAATCCGTTTATAGGTAATGACATCGAAGGGAAATAACAGACACGTCATAGGTACTTACCGGACGTTACGAAAAAACATTTTGTAGAAAATAAAACAATCTCCTGTTTTTATTAGTAAGCCTCTTCGGTTTTAAAACTTTTGAATTGAACGATTCCTTAATCTGGTTCTTGTTTTTAAAAATCATTTTCAGATTGTTGAATAACCAACCCCGAATTCCCTTGAGATGCATTATCCATTTTCTAATGTGCATATTATTGCACCTTTCTCCTCAATCGTAAATGCTTTACGACGGCATTGAGATGTAGTTTTTTTTTTCACAAATCACTAACAAACAACGCGTGACCTTCAACCATGAATTACCCACCGAGACTCAAACCAAAAACAAAAGCCATGCACGCACCGAACCATGTCGGGTATCACGTGACTCTCCCGAACACTGCCGAAGGTGTCAAAAATCATGTCGGTCGGTCAAAAATCATCATCAATAAGCGACATGTCACAATAACCGACTTGTTATAAAGAATTTTATATGAAAACCAAACTTCGCTGTGTAATTACTTCATAATAAGCGGTTGGTCAATATAGGCGGCGTCATAATAAACAGATTCTACTGTATATACTTAACTGGTACAAAAAGCCACCAAACTGCGTTGGACTCTGTAGATAGGTGTGCTAAGAGACTTGTTAGTGACCTTGATTTGGTTGAAACCAATCTTTGTCAGTCTCGAGTACAAACGCAAAGTAGCCAGCATCTCGGTATTCTATAGA